TGCTTGTGCTGGTGCCGGTGCCAGTGCTGGTGCTTCTGCTGGTGCTTGTGCTTGTGCTTGTGCTTGTGCTTGTGCTTGTGCTTGTGCTTGTGCTAGTGCTGGTGCTGGTGCTGGTGCTGGTGTTGGTGCCGTTGCTTTTGCTGATGCTTAAGCTCGTGCTTGTGCTGGTGCTGATGCTGGTGCTTTTTCTGGTGCTTGTGCTCGAAACGGTTCTTGTGCTGGTTCCTGGGCTGTTATCGGCACTCTTTATGGTGCTTGTACTAGTGCTGGTGCTGGTGCTGGTGCTGCTGCTGTTGCTGGTGCTGGTGCTGCTTCTAGTGCAGGTGCTTGTGCTTGTACAAGTGCTTGTGCTGGTACCGGTGCTGGTTCTTGTTCTGGTGTCTGGGCCGGTACTGGCGCTTGTGCTGATGCCTGTATTAGTGCTGGAGATTGGGTTGGTGCCGGCGCTTTTGCTGGTGCCTGTACTAGTACTGGAGCTGGTGCTGGTGCTGGAGCCTGTACTAGTGCTGGAGCTTGTCCTGAGTTCTGGTTCTGGTTCAGGTGCTAGTGCTGTTGCTGGGTCTGATGCTGGTGCTTGTACTGTTGCTTGTGTTGGTGCTGCTGCTGGCGTTTTTGCCTGTACTGGTGCTGGTGCTGGTGATGTTGCTGGTGGTGGTGCTGGTTTTAGTGCTGGAACTTGTACTGGATCCAGTGCTTGTGCTGGTGCTGGTGCTTGAGCTGGGTCCTGGGCAGGTGTCGGTGCTTGCGCTGGTTCCTGTACTAGTTATTGATCTGGTGCTGGTATTGGTATTAGTACTAGCGCTTGTGCTTCTCCTGGTGCTTAGGCTGGTTCCTGGGCTGTTAGCGGCGCTCGTTATGGTGCTTGTACTAGTGCTGGTGCTGGTGCTGGTGCTGGTTTTAGTGCAGGTGCTTGTGCTTGTACAAGTGCTTGTGCTGGTACCGGTGCTTGTGCTGGTGCTTGTGCTTGTGCTGGTGCTTGTGCTTGTGCTTGTGCTTGTGCTTGTGCTTGTGCATGTGCTAGTCCTAGTGCTGGTGCTTGTGCTGGTGCTGGTGCTGGTGCTGGTGCTGGTGCTGGAACTGGTGCCTGTGCTTGTGCCGGTGCTTGTGCTTGTGCTTGTGCTGGTGCTCGTATCTGTGTTTGTGCTGGAGCTTAGGCCACTGCCATATCTTGTACTAGTGCAAGTGCTTGTGCTGGTGATGAAGCTTGTGCTGGTGCTGGTGCTCGTATCTGTGTTTGTGCTGGAGCTCAGGCCACTGCCAGATCTTATACTAGTGCAAGTGCTTGTGCTGGTGATGAAGCTTGTGCTGGTGCTAATGCTGGTGCTGGTGCTGGTGCTGGTGCCAGTGCTGGTGCTGGAGGTGGAGGTGTTATTGGTCCTAGTGCTTGTGCTGGTGCCTGTGCTGGTGCCTGAATTAGTGCTGGAGCCTGGGCTGGTGCCGGCGCTTTTGCTGATGCTGGCGCTTGTCCCTGTCCTGGTACTTAGGCGGGAGCTGGTGCTTGTGCTGATGCTTGTGCTGGTGCTGTACCTTTTGCTGGTGCTCATACCGGTTGTTGTGCTGTTTCTGGTGCTTTTGCTTGGGCCGGGGCTGGTGCTGGTGCTAATGCTGGTGCTTGTGCTGCTGCTGGAGCTGGTGCTGGTGCTGGTGCTGGTGCTGGTGCTGGTGCTGGTGCTGGTGCCAGTGCTGGTGCCAGTGCTGGTGGTGGTGCTGTTGCTGGTTTTGTTGCTGGTGCTGGTCCCTATGCTGGTGCATGTGCTGGTGCATGTGCCGGTGCATGTGCTGGTGCATGTGCTGGTGTCTGTACTAGTGCTAGAGCTGGTGCTGGTGCTGGTACTGTAGCTTTTGTTGATGCTGGTACAAGTGCTTGTGCTGGTTTTTGTACTAGTGCTAGTGCTGGTGCTGGTGCTGGTGCTGAGGCTTAGGCTGGTGTTAGTGCTGATGCTGCTGCTGGAGCTGATGCTCTTGCTGGTTTGGTGGTGCAGTAGCTTGCGCCTGTTCTGGTGCTTAGCTAGTTTTAGTGCAGGTGGTGGTTTTAGTGCTGGTTCTGTTTGTATTGGTGGTGCTGGTGGTGGTGGTGGTGCTGGTGGTGGTGCTGGTGCTAGTGCTGGTGCTGGTGCTGATGCTTGAGCTGGTGCTGTTGCTTGTGCTGCTGTTTGTAGTGGCACTTGTGCAGGTGCATGTACTGATCTTGGAGCTGGTGATGGTGCTGTTGCTTGTCATGGTGCCTCGGCCGGTGCTGGCGCTTGTGCTGGTGCCTGTATTAGTGCTGGAGATTGGGTTGGTGCCGGCGCTTTTGCTGATGCCTGTACTAGTGCTGGAGCTGGTGCTGGTGCTGGTGCCTGTGCTGGTGCCTGTACTAGTGCTGGAGCTTGTGCTGGGGCTTGTGCTGGTGCTTGTGCTTGTGCTTGTGCTTGTGGTAGTGCTAGTGCTAGTGCTGGTGCTGGTGCTGGTGCTGGTGCTGGTGATGGTGCTGGTGCTGGAACTGGTGCCTGTGCTTTTGCTGATGCTGGCGCTTGTGCCTGTCCTTGTGCTTAGGCGGGAGCTGGTGCTGTTGGTGGTGCTTGTGCTTCTGTTTGACTCAGTGCTTCTACTGGTGTTGGTGCTGGTGCTGGCGCTTATGCTGGAGGTGGTGATGGTTCTTGTGCTGGACCTGATGCTTTTGCTGGTGCTATTGCTGGTTCTTGTTCTGGTGCCTGGGCCGGTACTGGCGTTTGTGCTGGTGCCTGTACTAGTGCTGGAGCCTGGGTTGGTGCCGGCGCTTGTGCTGTTTCCTGTACTAGTGCTGGAGCTGGTGCTGGTGCTGTTGCCTGTGCTGTTGCTTTTGATGATGCTGGCGCTTGTGGCTGTCCAGGTGCTTAGGCTGGTGCTAGTGGTGGTGCTGGTGATGTGGTGCTGGTGGTGGTGCTGGTGCTTGTGCTCGTGCCTGGGCGTTACTTGCGCTTGTGCTGGTGCCTTCCCTAGTGCTGGAGCTGGTGATGGTGTTGGTGCTTAGGCTAGTGCTACTGCTGGTTGTGGTGCTGGTGCTGGCTCTTTCGTTTCTTTTTTACCAGTAATGGTGCTGCAGGTGGTGCTGTTGCTGGTTCTGGTGCCTGTGCTGGTGCTGGTGGTGGTATTGGTGCTGGTGCTGTTGCTGGTGACTGTGCTGGTGCTGATGCAAGTACCTGTACTGGTGACTGTGCGTTTGCTGGTTGTCATACCGGTGCTTCTTCTGGAGCTTGCACCAGTGCCAGTGCTCGTGTTGGTGCTGTTGCAGTGCTAGAGATGGTGCTGCTGAAGTGCTGGAGATGATGGTGGTGCTGGTGTTGGTGCTGGTACTGGCGCTTGTGCTTTTGCTGGTGCTTGGGTCGATGCTTGCGCTTTTGCTGGTGCCTTTACTAGTGCTGGAGCTGGTGCTGGTGCTAGTGCTTAGGCTGGTCTCACTGCTCGTGGTGTTGCTGGTGCTGGTGCTTGAGCTGGTTTTGGTGCTGGTACTGTTGCCTGTTCTGGTGCTGGTGTTAGTGCTAATGCCGGCGCTTGTGCATGTCCAGGTGCTTACGCTGTAGTTGGTGGTGTTGTTGGTGCTGGTGCTGGTACTGTTGCCAGTGCTGTTGTCTGTACTAGTACTGGAGCAGGTGCTGGTGCTTGTATGGTGCTTGTACCAGTGCAGTTGCTGGAGCTGGTGCTGGTGGTGGTGCTGATTCCTGTGCTGGTGCTGATGTTAGTGCTGGTGCTGCTGCTTAGGCTGGTGCTGGTGTTGGTGGTGGTGTTGGTGCTAGTGCTGGTGCTTGTATCGGTGCTGGAGCTGGTGCTGGCGCTTTTGCTTGTACTTGTACCGATGCTTGTGCTGGAGCTTGAGCCGGTGCCAGTGCTTGTGCTGGTGCCTGTCCTAGTGCTGGAACTGTTGCTGGTACTGGAGCTGGTACTTGTGCTTGTGCTGGTGCTTGTATCGGTGCTGGAGCTGGTGTTGGTACTGGTGTTTGTACTTGTTCTTGTGCTGGTGCTCGTACCGGTGCTTGTGCTGGAGCTTGGGTTTGTGCCAGTGCTTGTGCTGTTGTCTGTACTTGTGCTGAAGCTGGTGCTGGTGCTGGTGCTGGTGCTGGTGCTGGTGCTGGTGCTGGTGCTGATGCTGATACTGATGCTGCTGCTGGTGCTGGTGCTGGCGCTTGTGCCGGTCCTGGTGCCTAGGTTGGTGCTGGTGCTGTTGGTGGTGCTGGTGGTGGTATGGTGCTGGAGCTTGTGCTTGTGCCCTTACCGCTTCAGTTGTCATACCAGTGCTTCTTCTGGAGCTTGCACCAGTGCCAGTGCTCGTGTTGGTGCTGTTGCAGTGCTAGAGATGGTGCTGCTGAAGTGCTGGAGATGATGGTGGTGCTGGTGTTGGTGCTGGTACTGGCGCTTGTGCTTTTGCTGGTGCTTGGGCCGATGCTTGCGCTTTTGCTGGTGCCTTTACTAGTGCTGGAGCTGATGCTAGTGCTTAGGCTGGTCTCACTGCTCGTGGTGTTGCTGGTGCTGGTGCTTGAGCTGGTTTTGGTGCTGGTACTGTTGCCTGTTCTGGTGCTGGTGTTAGTGCTGATGCCGGCGCTTGTGCATGTCCAGGTGCTTACGCTGTAGATGGTGGTGTTGTTGGTGCTGGTACTGTTGCCAGTGCTGTTGTCTGTACTAGTACTGGAGCTGGTGCTGGTGCTTGTATGGTGCTTGTACCAGTGCAGTTGCTGGAGCTGGTGCTGGTGGTGGTGCTGATTCCTGTGCTGGTGCTGATGTTAGTGCTGGTGCTGCTGCTTAGGCTGGTGCTGGTGTTGGTGGTGGTGTTGGTGCTAGTGCTGGTGCTTGTACGGGTGCTGGAGCTGGTGCTGGTGCTGGTGCTGGTGCTGGTGCTGGCGCTTTTGCTTGTACTTTTACCGATGCTTGTGCTGGAGCTTGAGCCGGTGCCAGTGCTTGTGCTGGTGCCTGTCCTAGTGCTGGAACCGTTGCTGGTACTGGAGCTGGTACTTGTGCTTGTGCTGGTGCTTGTATCGGTGCTGGAGCTGGTGTTGGTACTGGTGTTTGTACTTGTTCTTGTGCTGGTGCTCGTACCGGTGCTTGTGCTGGAGCTTGGGTTTGTGCCAGTGCTTGTGCTGTTGTCTGTACTTGTGCTGAAGCTGGTGCTGGTGCTGGTGCTGGTGTTGGTGTCTGTACTAGTGCTGGTGCTGGTGCTGGTGCTTGTGTTTTTGCTATTATGGTGCTTGTGACGTTGGCGGTTCTGGTTCTGATGCTAGTGGCGGTGCTGGTTCTGGTGCTGGTGCTCTTGCTGGTGCTGGTGCTTGTGCTGGACCCGGTGCTTGTTCTGGTGCTGGTGTTGGTGCTGGTCTTGGCGCTTCTGCCAGTCCTGTTGTTTAGGCTGCTGTAGGTGGTGCTGGTGGTGCTGGTAGTGCTAGAGCTGGTGCTGGTGCTGTTACTGTAGCTTGTGTGGATGCTGTTGTTGTGCTGCTGGTGCGTTGTTGGTGCTGGTTCTTGTGCTGGTGCTGGTGCTGCTGCTGGTACAGGTGCTTGTGCTGGTTCTTGTACTAGTGCTAGTGCTGGTGCTGAGGCTTAGGCTGGTGCTGGTGCTGGTGCTTTTGCTGGTGTGGTGGTGCAGTAGCTTGTGCCTGTCCTGGTGCTTAGGCTAGTTTTAGTGCAGGTGGTGGTGTTAGTGCTGGTGCTGGTGTTGGTGCCTGTGCTGGTGCTGGTGCTGATGCTGGTGCTGGTGCCAGTGCTGGTGATGGTGCTGTTGCTGGTGTTGGTGCTGGTGCTGGTCCCTTTGCTGGTGCATGTGCTGGTGCATGTGCCGGTGCATGTGCTGGTGCTGGTGCTGGTGCTGAGGCTTAGGCTGGTGCTAGTGCTGATGCTGCTGCTGGAGCTGATGCTATTGCTGATTTGGTGGTGCAGTAGCTTGTGCCTGTTCTGGTGCTTAGGCTAGTTTTAGTGCAGGTGGTGGTGTTTGTGCTGGTTCTGTTTGTATTGGTGGTGCTGGTGGTCGTGGTGGTGCTGGTGGTGGTGCTGGTGCTAGTGCTGGTGCTGGTGCTGATGCTTGTGCTGGTGCTGTAGCTTGTGCTGGTGCTCATACCGGTTCTTGTGCTGTTCTTGGTGCTTTTTCTTGGGCCGGGGCTCATGCTGGTGCTGGTGCTGTTGCTGTTGCTGGTACTTCTGCTGGAATTGGTGCTGGAGCTGGTGCTGGTGCTGGTGCTGGTGTTGATAATGATACTGATGCTGGTGCTGGAGCTTGGGCTGGTGCCCATACCAGTTCTTGTGCTGGTTCTGGTGCTGATGCTGGTGCTGGTGCTGATGCTGGTGCTGGGGCTGCTGCTGGAGCTGCTGCTTATGCTGTTGCTAATACTGGTGCTTGTGCTGGTGTTTTTGCTGGTGCTGATACTGGTGCTTTTACTGGTGCCTTTACTAGTGCTGGAGCTGGAGCTGGAGCTGGAGCTGGTGCTGGAGCTGGTGCTGGTGCTGGTGCTGGTGCTGGTGCTCGTAAATGTGTTTGTGCTAGAGCTTGAGCTAGTGCCTGCTCTAGTTCTAGTGCAAGTGCTTGTGCTGGTGCTAGTGCTAGTGCTGGTGCTGATGCTGGTGCTGGTGTTGATGCTGGTACTGGTGCTGGTGTTGGTGCTGGTGCTGGAGCTGGTGCTTGTGCTTGTGCTGGTGTTGGTGCTAGTGCTTGTGCTGGTTCTTGTGTTGCTGCTGGTGCTGTTGCTGGTTCTAAAACTGGTGCTTGTGCTGGTGTTGGTGCCTGTGCTGGAGCTAATCTTCGAGGTGGTGATGGTTCTTTGCGCTGGCGTTTGTGCTGGTGCCTGTACTACTGCTGGAGCCTGGGTTTGTGCCGGCGCTTTTGCTGGTGCCTGTACTAGTGCTGGAGCTGGTGCTGGTGCTGGAGTCTGTACTGGTGCCTGTACTAGTAAGGAGATTGTCCTGGTTCTGGTTCAGGTGCTAGTGCTGTTGCTGGGCCTTATGCTGGTGCTTGTAACGTTGCTTGTGTTGGAGCTGCTGCTGGCGTTTTTGCCTGTACTGGTGCTGGTGCTGGTGATGTTGCTGGTGGTGGTGCTGGTTTTAGTGCTGGAACTTGTACTGGATCCAGTGCTTGTGCTGGTCCTGGTGCTTGAGCTGGGTCCTGGGCCGGTGTCGGTGCTTGTGCTGGTTCCTGTACTAGTTATTGATCTGGTGCTGGTGCTGGTGTTGGTATTAGTACTAGCGCTTGTGCCTCTTCTGGTGCTTAGGCTGGTGCTGGTGCTGGTGCTGATGCTGGTGCTGGTGCTTTTTCTGGTGCTTGTGCTAGTGCTCGAAACGGTTCTTGTGCTGGTTCCTGGGCTGTTAGCGGCGCTCGTTATGGTGCTTGTACTAGTGCTGGTGCTGGTGCTGGTGCTGGTGCTGGTTCTAGTGCAGGTGCTTGTGCTTGTGCTTGTACAAGTGCTTGTGCTGGTACCGGTGCCTGTGCTAGTGCTTGTGTTGGTGTTTGTGCTTGTGCTTGTGCTTGTGCTTGTGCTTGTGCTTGTGCTTGTGCTAGTGCTAGTGCTGGTGCTGGTGCTGGTGCTGGTTCTGGTGCTGGTGTTGGTGCCGTTGCTTTTGCTGATGCTTAAGCTTGTGCTTTTGTTGGTGCTGGTTCTTGTTCTGGTGTCTAGGCCGGTACTGGCGCTTGTGCTTATGCCTGTATTAGTGCTGGAGATTGGGTTGGTGCCGGCGCTTTTGCTGGTGCCTGTACTAGTACTGGAACTGGTGCTGGTGCTGGAGCCTGTACTGGTGCCTGTACTAGTGCTGGAGCTTTTCCTGAGTTCTGGTTCTGGTTCAGGTGCTAGTGCTGTTGCTTGGTGTGATGCTGGTGCTTGTACTGTTGCTTGTGTTGGTGCTGCTGCTGGCGTTTTTCCCTGTACTGGTGCTGGTGCTGGTGATGTTGCTGGTGGTGGTGCTGGTGCTTTTTCTGGTGCTTGTGCTAGTGCTCGAAACGGTTCTTGTGCTGGCTCCTGGGTTGTTAGCGGCGCTCGTTATGGTGCTTGTACTAGTGCTGGTGCTGGTGCTGGTGCTGGTGCTGGTTCCTGTACTAGTTATTGATCTGGTGCTGGTGCTGGTGTTGGTATTAGTACTAGCGTTTGTGCCTCTTCTGGTGCTTAGGCTGGTGCTGGTGCTGGTGCTGATGCTTGTGCTGGTGCTTTTTCTGGTGCTTGTGCTAGTGCTCGAAACGGTTCTTGTGCTGGTTCCTGGGCTGTTAGCGGCGCTCGTTATGGTGCTTGTACTAGTGCTGGTGCTGGTGCTGGTGCTGGTGCTGGTTCTAGTGCAGGTGCTTGTGCTTGTGCTTGTACAAGTGCTTGTGCTGGTACCGGTGCCAGTGCTGGTGCTTCTGCTGGTGCTTGTGCTTGTGCTTGTGCTTGTGCTTGTGCTTGTGCTTGTGCTTGTGCTAGTGCTGGTGCTGGTGCTGGTGCTGGTGTTGGTGCCGTTGCTTTTGCTGATGCTTAAGCTCGTGCTTGTGCTGGTGCTGATGCTGGTGCTTTTTCTGGTGCTTGTGCTCGAAACGGTTCTTGTGCTGGTTCCTGGGCTGTTATCGGCACTCTTTATGGTGCTTGTACTAGTGCTGGTGCTGGTGCTGGTGCTGCTGCTGTTGCTGGTGCTGGTGCTGCTTCTAGTGCAGGTGCTTGTGCTTGTACAAGTGCTTGTGCTGGTACCGGTGCTGGTTCTTGTTCTGGTGTCTGGGCCGGTACTGGCGCTTGTGCTGATGCCTGTATTAGTGCTGGAGATTGGGTTGGTGCCGGCGCTTTTGCTGGTGCCTGTACTAGTACTGGAGCTGGTGCTGGTGCTGGAGCCTGTACTGGTGCCTGTACTAGTGCTGGAGCTTGTCCTGAGTTCTGGTTCTGGTTCAGGTGCTAGTGCTGTTGCTGGGTCTGATGCTGGTGCTTGTACTGTTGCTTGTGTTGGTGCTGCTGCTGGCGTTTTTGCCTGTACTGGTGCTGGTGCTGGTGATGTTGCTGGTGGTGGTGCTGGTTTTAGTGCTGGAACTTGTACTGGATCCAGTGCTTGTGCTGGTGCTGGTGCTTGAGCTGGGTCCTGGGCAGGTGTCGGTGCTTGCGCTGGTTCCTGTACTAGTTATTGATCTGGTGCTGGTATTGGTATTAGTACTAGCGCTTGTGCTTCTCCTGGTGCTTAGGCTGGTTCCTGGGCTGTTAGCGGCGCTCGTTATGGTGCTTGTACTAGTGCTGGTGCTGGTGCTGGTGCTGGTTTTAGTGCAGGTGCTTGTGCTTGTACAAGTGCTTGTGCTGGTACCGGTGCTTGTGCTGGTGCTTGTGCTTGTGCTGGTGCTTGTGCTTGTGCTTGTGCTTGTGCTTGTGCTTGTGCATGTGCTAGTGCTAGTGCTGGTGCTTGTGCTGGTGCTGGTGCTGGTGCTGGTGCTGGTGCTGGAACTGGTGCCTGTGCTTGTGCCGGTGCTTGTGCTTGTGCTTGTGCTGGTGCTCGTATCTGTGTTTGTGCTGGAGCTTAGGCCACTGCCATATCTTGTACTAGTGCAAGTGCTTGTGCTGGTGATGAAGCTTGTGCTGGTGCTGGTGCTCGTATCTGTGTTTGTGCTGGAGCTCAGGCCACTGCCAGATCTTATACTAGTGCAAGTGCTTGTGCTGGTGATGAAGCTTGTGCTGGTGCTAATGCTGGTGCTGGTGCTGGTGCTGGTGCCTGTGCTGGTGCTGGAGGTGGAGGTGTTATTGGTCCTAGTGCTTGTGCTGGTGCCTGTGCTGGTGCCTGAATTAGTGCTGGAGCCTGGGCTGGTGCCGGCGCTTTTGCTGATGCTGGCGCTTGTCCCTGTCCTGGTACTTAGGCGGGAGCTGGTGCTTGTGCTGATGCTTGTGCTGGTGCTGTACCTTTTGCTGGTGCTCATACCGGTTGTTGTGCTGTTTCTGGTGCTTTTGCTTGGGCCGGGGCTGGTGCTGGTGCTAATGCTGGTGCTTGTGCTGCTGCTGGAGCTGGTGCTGGTGCTGGTGCTGGTGCTGGTGCTGGTGCTGGTGCCAGTGCTGGTGCCAGTGCTGGTGGTGGTGCTGTTGCTGGTGTTGTTGCTGTTGCTGGTCCCTATGCTGGTGCATGTGCTGGTGCATGTGCCGGTGCATGTGCTGGTGCATGTGCTGGTGTCTGTACTAGTGCTAGAGCTGGTGCTGGTGCTGGTACTGTAGCTTTTGTTGATGCTGGTACAAGTGCTTGTGCTGGTTTTTGTACTAGTGCTAGTGCTGGTGCTGGTGCTGGTGCTGAGGCTTAGGCTGGTGTTAGTGCTGATGCTGCTGCTGGAGCTGATGCTCTTGCTGGTTTGGTGGTGCAGTAGCTTGCGCCTGTTCTGGTGCTTAGCTAGTTTTAGTGCAGGTGGTGGTTTTAGTGCTGGTTCTGTTTGTATTGGTGGTGCTGGTGGTGGTGGTGGTGCTGGTGGTGGTGCTGGTGCTAGTGCTGGTGCTGGTGCTGATGCTTGAGCTGGTGCTGTAGCTTGTGCTGGTGCTCATACCGGTTCTTGTGCTGTTCTTGGTTCTTTTTCTTGGGCCGGGGCTGATGCTGGTGCTGGTGCTGTTGCTGGTGCTGGTGCTTTTGCTGGAATTGGTGCTGGAGCTGGTGCTGGTGCTGGTGCTGGTGCGGGTTTGTTGGTGCTACTGCTGCTGCCTGTCCTGGTGCTTAGGCTGTTTCTGGTGCTGGTGGTGGTGCTGTTGCTAGTGCTGGTGCTGGTGCTGGTGCCTGTGCTGGTGCAGGTGCAGGTGCTAGTGCATGTGCTAGTGCATGTGCTGGTGCCTGTACTAGTGCTAGAGCTGGTGCTGGTGCTGTTACTGTAGCTTGTCCGGATGCTGGTGCTGTTGCTGGTGCTGGTGTTGGTGCTGCTGCTGGTGCTGGTGCTGGTGCTGGTGCTGGTACAGGTGCTTGTGCTGGTTCTTGTACTAGTGCTAGTGTTGGTGCCGAGGCTTAGGCTGGTGCTGGTGCTGGTGCTGATGCTACTGCTGGAGCTGGTGCTGTTGCTGATGTGATGGTGCAGTAGCTTGTGCCTGTCCTGGTGCTTAGGCTTGTTTTAGTGCAGGTGGTTGTGTTAGTGCTGGCGCTGGTGTTGGTGCCTGTGCTGGTGCCTGTACTATTGCCGGACCTGCTGCTGGTTATGGTGCTAGTGCTGGTGCTGGTGGAGATGCTGGTGCTGGTTCTGGTGATGGTGTTGGTGCTGGTGCTGGTGCCAATGCTTTTTTATGCTAGCGCTTGTGCCTGTCCTGATGCTTAGGCTGGTGTCGGTGCTGGTGGTGGTGCTGTGGTGGTGCTGGTGCTGGTGGTGGTCCTGGTGCTTGAGCTTGACCCAGTGCTTTGCTGGTGTTGGTGCTGGTCCTGGTGCTTGTGCCTGTCCCGTTGCTTTTACTGATGCTGGCGCTTGTGCCTCTCCTGGTAATTAGGCTGGTGCTGTTGCTGGTGGTGGTGCTGCTGCTGGTGGCGGTTCTGGAGCTTGTGCTGGACCGGGTGCTTTTGCTGGTGAGAGTGCTTGTTCTGGTGCCTGGGCCGGTGCAGGCTCTTGTACTGGTGCCTGTACTAGTGCCGGAAATGGTGCTGGTTCTGGTGACGGTTCTGGTGCTGGCGCTTGCGCTTGTGCTTGTGCTAGTGCTCGTACCGGTGTTTGTATTGCAGCTTGGGCAAGTGCCGGCTCTTGTACTATTGCTAGTGCTTTAGCTGGTGCTTGTGTTAGTGCTGATGCTGGTTCTGGCGCTTGTGCCTGTCCTAGTGCTTAGGCTGATGCTGGTGCTGGTGCTGTTGTTTGTGCTAGTGCTGGTGCTGGTGCTGGTACTGGTGCTATTGTTTGCGCTGTATCAGGTGCCTGCCCTTGTGATAGTGCCTGTACTAGTTCTGGTACTGGTGCTGGTGCATGTTCTTGTGGTTGTGTTGGTACTTGTACCGCTGCTGGTGCTGGAGCTGCTGCTGGTAGCGATGCTTCTGCTTGTGCTTGTGCTAGTGCTTGTACCGGCTTTTGTGCAGGAGTTTGGGCAAGTGCCGGCTCTTGTATTATTGCAAGTACTTGTGATGTTGCTTGTGTTAGTGCTGGTGCTGGTGCTGGCGCTTGTGCCTGTCCTGGTGCTTAGTAATATTGCTGCTGGTGGTGCTGGTGGTGGTACTGGTGGTGGTGCTGGTGGTGGTGCTGCTGGTGGTGCTGGTAGTGGTGCTGGTGCTGGTGCTGGTGGAGAATTTGGTGCCGGTGCAGCAGCTTGTGATGGTCCCTATGCTGGTGCCTATACTAGTGATGGATCTGGTGCTGGTGCTGGCACTGGTTCTAAAACTGTTTCTTGTACCGTTGGTTGTGCTGGAGCATGGGCCGGTGCTGGTGCTTGTGCTAGTGCATGTACTACTGCTAGTGCTGGTTCTGGTGCTGGTGCTTGTGCTAGAGCACGTGCTTGTCCTGGTGCTGGTGTTGGTGCCTATGCTAATGCCTGTAATATTGCTGGAGCTGGTGCTGGTTCTGGTGCTAGGGCTGGTGCTGGTGCTGAAACTATACAAGATACTGAAAACAAAATGTAACTGTTTTTTCTTTAAGATACGGCATGTTCAAATATATTCAGCAGTTGTTAGAAAAATATTTGGTTGATGCTTCTTCACATTTGCTGACTTCAAAAATTGATTGGTTTTTCTAATTTGGTTGACTTTGTAATTGATAATTTTGTATTTTCCTAGTTCCTTGGTTTCATAGTTTTTTTGTAAAATCTCAACCTTTCCAAGTAAAACCTTCGATTTCCGATTTTGTATCTGAATCCAAAAATCTTGATATATATTTCTATAAATGCAATTTTCTCTGAAACTGTGCAGAATACTGAAACCAAAATTTCACTTTTTTTTCTTTATGGTAAGGCAAGTTCAAATATTGTCACCAATTGTCACAAAAAATTTTTTTAATGTTTTCTTTTTAATTGAAGTCTTGGTTTTTATTTTGTAGATAAGTATATTTCCTTAAAATATTCGTAAGTTCAAACTTTTAGCAATATTAAAGAACTCAAAAGTGAGTTTAAATGTTCCAAAATTTTGTTTTTCTGGCTTTGTTGACTTTGTTATTGATAATTTTGACTTTATCTTGTTCCTTAGTTTCATAGTTTTTTGTAAAATCTCAACCTTACAAAGTAAAACCTTCGATTTCTGATTTTGTATTTGAAACAAAAATTCTTGATATATCGTTGTATGAGGGCAATATTCTCTGAAATTATGCAAGCTACTGGAACCGAAACTTCACAGTTTATTTTTTAATGTACGGCAAGCTCAAATATTTTCAGCAATTGTGAGAAAAATACTGGGTTCATGTTTTTTTACAATTGAAATGTTGGTTTTCAATTTGCAGCTTAATATATTTCCTTAAAAACTTTGTAACTTCAAACTTTCGGCGGCTTTAAAGAACTCAAATGTTTTTCAAATGTCCCAAAAACTTGTTTTTCTGGTGTGGTCGACTTTCTATTTGATAATTTTGATTTTTTCTTCATCCTTAGTTTCATAGTTTCTTTTTAAAATCTCAACCATACAATATAAACCCTTCGATTTCTGATTTTGCTTTTGAAACCCTATCTCTAACCCTGACCTTAACTCTAATCCTAACCCTAACCCTAACCCTAGCATTATCTTCAACCCTAACCATAACCCTAACCCTAACCATAACAATAACCCTAAACCTAACCCTAATCATAACTCTAACACTTACCCTAACCCAAACCATAACCCTAACCCTAACCAAAACCTTATCTTCAACCCTAACCGAAACCCTAACCCTAACCATAACCCTAAACCTAACTAACTAACACTAACCCTAAACCTAACCGAAACCCTAACCCTAACCATAACCCTAAACCTAACTCTAACACTAACCCTAAACCTAACCGTAACCCTAACTCTAACCCTAACCCTAACCATAACTCTAACTCCAACCCTAAACCTAACCCTAACCCTAATCTTAACCCCAACTCTAACCATAATCCTAACCCTAACCCTAAACCTAACCCTATCTCTAACCCTAATCCTAATTCTAACCCTAACTCTAACCCTGATCCAAACCTTAACCCTAACCCTGACCCTAACCTTAACCCTAACCCTAACCCTAACCCTAACCCTAAACCCTTTCTTTGTTAAAATTGTATCAATTAGAGATCTCAGTTTAATGTAATCTGACGAAAGTTATACTGTAGATTTTGAAAATTCAAGTTACAAAATAATTTGATTAACCTTTGCTATGGTAACGAGCATTGTTTTTCAAAATCCAAAAGTTGAGTGTGCATTGACTTTCCAACAGCATCATCAAAAAGTATTGTCCTTTATATCAAATTGTTTGTCAAGAGCTGGAGAGTGCAACTAAGCCATATTTTTCCACTCCTTTTACACTTATTGTAAAAATTGATGTCAAAATACAAAAACTGGATAATCCAGCCTTCAAATGTTTTTTAGATTGTTGCCTAAGGAAAAAATCCCTGTATGTGAACTTCAAATCAAGCATCTTCATTGCATCGCATGATTTAAGGATCATTTTGATTTATAGGTTACAGAGGTTTGAATTCATTATAAAACTTGATAACTTAGTTTGGTCAGCGGGCTAAAAATTATACTTGAATAATTCGCAGTTAAAGTTTTGGAAGCAAAAAACGTTTAGAGAAACTTACATTTTCATGCAGTTTTAACACAGAAAATAATTATTTATGGAGCAATCATTATTATATCAATTATATAAATGATAAATTTACTCTCAAAACAGTTCATGTTTACAAAATTGATCAGATTAAACAACAGAACCTTCACTCTCATACATTTTTCCTTCTCGCTTGCTCGCATCCTTACTAGATCGTGATTTCTTAAATTTCAAGTCTTTTTCTCTCTACTTTGCAGTGGTGGTCATAGCCCTCTTAGCTTTTCTCATCCTTTTTGCATCTAAATACTTTCAAGGTTCTATTCTCATAACTTGAAAAATCATGTTTTTATATGATGCACCCATTGAAAACTGAGATAATGCAAATGCGAATCCAATTTCTATAGTCTTTTTCCCACAAAAAATATTTTTTTGACAAAACTTCCAGACAAGGCTGTGCATTGACTCATTTCCATATTGATTAGAGCCACGAGCACATCTTTATAGCAAGCCAACTTCACTCAAAAAAATCGAGAAAAATCGGAAAAAATCCCTTAAATCCCGAAAAATACTGTAAAAATATCAATAATCTCTCAAAATCCGGAAAAATCTTGAAAAATATAAAAAATTCCTCAAAATCCCGAAAAATCGCAAAAATTCGAAAGAAATCCCTAAGATGTCTAAAAATGTTAAAAAACATCAAAATCTCTCAAAATCCCAAAATTTCTTGAAAAAAAAATTCTTCAAAACTAGAAAAAAACCGAAAAAAAATCCCGAAGAATCAGAAAAATCGGAGAAAATCTCAAAAAATCGCAAAAGTGTTGAAAAAATTCGAAAAATCTCGAAAATTTGTGAAAAATTCAAAAAAATCGAAGAATCTTGAAAACTCTCAAATAACTTTGAAAAAATCTTGAGAAATCAAAAAATCAGAATAAAATCTCGAGAAATCAAAATAATTCCAAAAAATCTCCAAAAATTTTGCAAAAATTGCAAAAAATCGCAGAAATCTTGAAAAATCTCGAAAAATCAAAAAAATCCCAAGAAATATTCAAAAATATCGAAAAATCTTGAAAAATTTCGAAAAATCTTGAATATCTCGAAAAACCTGAAAAATTATCGAAAAATCCATAAAAAGCCCAAAAAGCCCCAAAAATCCCAAAAAATTTTGAAAAATTGCAAAAAAATCCAAAAAAATCCCAAAAACCTTTCAAAAATTTCAAAAAAACTTGAAAAATCTTGAAAATCTCGAAAAATCTGAAAAAAATATCGAAAAATCGCTAAAAAGCCTAAAAATCCCCAAAAAACCCAAAAAATCTCGAAAATTTCCAAAAAACCCAAAAAATCTTCAAAACACTCGAAAAGTTTTTAAAAATCTCGAAAAATCCTGGAAAAAAATCAAAAATGTTGAAACTTTCGAAAAATCTGAAAAAAATCTCGAAAAATCCGAAAAAATCCCAAAAAAGCCCCAAAAATCCCAAAAAATCTCGAACAAAACAAAAAATCCCAAAAACTCTTCAAAAATCTCAAAACATTTTGAAAAAATCATGAAAAATCAAAAATCAGAATAAAATCTCAAGAAATTTTGAAAAGTTTCAAAAAATCTCGAAAAATTTGAAAAGTTGCAAAAATTCCAAAAAAAACTCGATAATTTTCGAAAAACATGAAAAATCTTGAAAAATCTTGAAAATCTCGAAAAATCTGAAAAAAATATCGAAAAATCGCTAAAAAGCCTAAAAATCCCCAAAAAACCCAAAAAATCTCGAAAATTTCCAAAAAACCCAAAAAATCTACAAAACACTCGAAAAGTTTTTAAAAATCTCGAAAAATCCTGGAAAGAAATCAAAAATGTTGAAAAACTTGAAAAATCTTGAAAAATCTAATAAATCTCAAAGAATCCAAAAAATCCCAAAAAATCTCGATAAATTTCGAAGAACATGAAAAATCTTGAAAATATTGAAAAATCTCGAGAAATCTGGAAAAATCTGGAAAATATTCGAAAAATCATGAAAAATTTCGAAAAATCTTGAAAAAAAAATCTCCAAAAAAGAACTTGAAAAATTGAAATGTCTCAATATAATCTCGAATAATCGAAAAAAGTCCAAAAGTCCCGAAAAACTTCTAAAAACTCGAAAAATCTTGAAAAATCACGAAAATCTCCAAAAACACCAAAAAAATTTGAAAAAGTTTTCAAAAATAACGAAATATCTTGAAAAATCTCGAACAATCAAAAAAAACCCCGAAAAAACCCAGAAATCCCAAAAAATCTCCAGAAATCACGAAAAATCTTCAAAAATCTCAAAAATCTTGAAAATTTGCAAAAAACTCAAAAATCACAACAAATCTTGCAAAATCCAAAAAATCAATAAAGGTCTTCAAAAGTCTCGAAAAATTATGAAAATTCTCGAAAATCCTGGAAAAAACTCAAAAATGTTTAAATTCTCGAAAAATCTGAAAAAAACCTCGAAAAACCCGAAAAAAGGCCCAAACGCCCCAAAAATCCCAAAAATCTCGAAAAATCCAAAAAATCCCAAAAACTCTTCAAAAAACTCAAAAAATTTTGAAAAAATCTTTAAAAATCAAAAATCGGAATAAAATCTTGAAAATTAAAATAATTCAAAAAATCTCAAAAAATTTTTAAAAATTGCAAAAAATCTCGAAAATTCTCGAAAAATTCCGAAAAATTCCAAAAAATCTTGAAAAAAACTGAAATAAAAATTCTTGAGAAATCTTGAAAATCTCAAAAAATCTCCAAAAATCTCAAAAAAATTCAAAAATACAAAAATCTCAAGAAAAAAAAAACTCACTTGAAAAAAAATCTGAGAAAAATCTCGAAAAATAAATCTCAATAAATCTAAAAAATACAAAACATTTTTCAAAAATCACGAAAAATATTCAAAAATACAAAAAATTCCCAAAAAATATTCAAAACTATCGAAAATACTTGAAAAATTTCGAAAAATTTCTAAAAACTCAAAAAATCTTGAAAAATCTAATAAATCTCAAAGAATCCAAAAAATCCCAAAAAATCTCGATAAATATAGAAAAACATTAAAAATCTTGAAATATATTGAAAAATCTCGAGAAATCTGGAAAAATCTGGAAAATATTCGAAAAATTTTGAAAAACTTCGAAAAAATTTGAAAAATAAAAAATCTCCAAAAAAATCTTGATAAATTTCGAAAAACATGAAAAATCGTGAAAAATATCAAAAATCTTGAAAAATATCAATTAATCTCGTGTAAACTCGAAATATCTGGAAAAACTTCGAAAAATCTTGAAAAATTTCAAAAAATCTTGAAAAATAAAGAATCTCCGAAAAAATCTTGAAAAACCAAAAAATCGGATAAAATCTTGAAAAATCAAAATAATTCCAAAAAATTTTGAAAAATTTTGAAAAATTTTAAAAAATCACAAAAATCTCGAAAAATCCCGAATAATTTCAAAAAATCTCAAAAAAAACTCAAATATATTGAAAATTCTTGAGAAATCTTGAGAAATCTCAAAAAATCTCCATTAGTCTTGAAAAGTTGCAAAAAAACTCAAAAATCACAAAAATCTCGAAAAATCTCGAAAAATCCAAAAAATCCCCAAAGATCTTCAAAAGTTTCGAAAAATTTTGAAATGTCTCGAAAAATTTCCAAAAATAAAAAAAATAAAAAAAATCTCGAAAAATCTCAAAAAATTTTTAAAAATGGCAAAAAATCGCGAAAATCTTCAAAAACCTCGAAAAATCTCGAAATATCAAAAAATCACAAAAACTTTCGAAAAATTGAAATGTTAGATTTCATTTAACAGCCTAATATATTTCTTTAAAAACCTTTAAAGTTCAATCTTTCTGCTGCATTAAAAAACTCAAAATTGTTTATTAATGTCCTAAAACTTTGTTTTTCAGAAGTGATTGACTTTTTAATTGATAATTGTGATTTTATCTAGTTCCTTAGTTTCATAGTTTTTTTTAAAATTTCAATCGTACAAAGGAAAGTGTTCGATTTCTGATTTTGTATATCAAAACAAAAGTCTTGATATATCTTTCTAGGAATGCAATTTTCTCTGAAACTATGCAAGCTACTGAATCGAAAATTTCACAGTTTTTTCTTTAAGGTACAGCGAGTTTTAATTTTGTATTAATTTGTGTAGAGAATATTTGGTTCATATTTTATTAACATTTGAAATGTTAGTTTTCATTTAGCAGCTTAATATATTACCTTAAAAACTTTAAATGCTCAAACTTTTACGGGCGTTAAAGAACTCAAAAGTAGTTTTAAATGTCTCCAAAACTTGTTTTTTCTGGTGTGGTTTACCTTCTAATTGATATTTTTGAATTTTTCTACTTCCATAGTTTCATAGTTTTTTGTAAAATTTCAACCGTATAAAGTAAACCCGTCGATTACTGATTTTCTATTTGAATCCGGAATTCTCTTGATTTATCTTTGTATGAATGCGAGTTTCTCTGAAACTATCCAAAATCTTGAAACTAAAATTGCACAATTTATTCTTTAAGGTACGGCGAGTTCAAATATGGTCATAAACTGTGAAGAAAATATTTGGTTCATGTTTTATTTACAATTGAATTGTTAGTTTTTATTTAGCAGCATAATATATTTCCTTAAAAACTTTAAAAGTTCAATCTTCAGCGGCATTAAAGAACTCAAAAGTATTTATTAATGTTCCAAAAACTGTTTGTTCTGATGTGGTTGTTTATCTAATTGATAATTTTGACTTTTCCTAGTTCCTTAGTTTCAAAGTTTTTTGTAAAATTTCAACCGTACGAAGTAAACCCTTCGATTACTGATTTTGTATTTGAAACCAAAATCTTGATTTATCTTTGTATGGATGCAATTTTTTTCTGAAACTATTGAAGATACTGGAACTAAATTTCCACAGTTTATTCTTTAAGGCTCGACAACTTCAATTTGGTAAGCAAATGTAAAAAAAATATTTGGTTGATGTTTTATTCACAATTGAAATGTTAGTTTCAATTTTGCAGGTTAATATATTTCCTTAAAGACTTTAAAAGTTCAAACTGTCAGCGGCATTAAAGAACTCAAAAGTATTTATTAATGTCCCAAAATCTGATTGTTCTGGTGTGGTTGTTTTGTTAATTGATAATTTTGTTTTTTCCTAATTCCTTTATTTCAAAGTTTTTTTAAAATTTCAACCGTATAAAGTAAACCCGTCGATTTCTGTTTTTATATTTGAAACCAAAAATCTTGATTTTTCTTTGTATGAATGCAATTTTCTCTGAAACTATGCTTGATATTGAAACTAAGATTTCACAAGTTACTCTTTAAGATATGGCAGGTTCAAATATGGTCAGCAATTGTTAAAAAAGTATTGGATTCATTTTTATTAATAATTGAAATGTTAGTTTTCATTTTGCAACTTCATATATTTCCTTAAAAACTTTGTAAGCTCAAACTTTCAGCGGAATTAAAAGAAGTCAAAATTGTTTATTAATGTCCCAAAATTTTTTTTTTCTGGTGTGGTTGATTTGCTAATTGATAATTTTGATTTTTCCTACTTCCTTAGTTTTATAGTTGTTTGCAAAATTTCAACCGTACATAGTAAAACCTGTGATTTCTGATTTTCTATTTGCGATTTTCAAACCAAAAATGTTGATTTATCTTTGCATGATTGCAATTTTCTCTTAAACTATGCAAGATACTGAAACGAAGATTTCACAAGTTACTCTTTAAGATATGGCAAGTTTAATTATGGTCAGCAATAGACCTTTGCCCTTATTACGTCATGCGCTTCTGAGTCCGCAATGCATTGTGGTACTTGTATTTAATATCGCGGCCGTCTGTTTACGTTTTCTATGGTGATCGAGACACGTTGTATTTTGCTGCTGTAAAATTGTTAAGAAACTGCCAAAAAATCATGGAAAATCCAGCGGATTCTGATGGCCAGCACTTCCCTAGTTTTTTTCAAAACTCTAGTTCGGGGTCCAGTGCCAAGGAAGCTTCGGCAACAGAAGAACTTTACGAGAACAGAATTGTTAAAGGAGCATGCGGGCCTGCCAATGGTGATGGCTCTTCCGAAATAGTAGATACAGTGGGTGTGGATGAGACTGCAGAACAAGCCACAGTTGAAAAGGACGGTTGGTTAAGGTCCTTGACACAACTTCCAAGTTTTAGCCATGAAAAATTAGACGATCGTTTAATTAATAGCCCTTTAACATCAACAGAGAATGGAGCAGCGCCCAAGGCATTTAGGAACAAAAAAGAAGGGTACAAACTATGGAAGGAGGGATATGTGCGTGCTGTATTCGTTAAACCTAACGTTAAGGGGAAACGTATGTTATTCCTTGTAAAGGCAGAAGTATCTGCATCAATGAAGAGTGTCCAGTACATGGTATATGTTCATCTAGACCAAATCAATGGTGATGTGGTTTATGCGAAATGCGACTGTAAAGCTGGTCAAGGAGGGTGTTGCAAGCATGTTGCTGCTTTACTTTATACTTTACTTGACTTTATCAACATTGACATTGAAGAAATACCAAGTGATATAACATGCACCCAGGTTGGGCAGAAATGGCATATTCCTTCAGGTGCAAGAAATCTGTCATCTAAAGCTTTTAAGTTTCGAAATCTTGTTTTTGTAAAAGCAGAAGAAACTAAGAAGAGAAAGAGGCCTCTTGTAACTGGAAGCAGAGACACATATTGTGCTACACCACAGTTTGCTTTGGAAACAAGTCCAGATGAACTAGAAGGCTTAGTGGAAAGGCTGAGATTGGCAGGCAAGGCCCCAATGTTTTGTGAAGCAATAGAGTCAAATAATTATCAGCCTTGCTCTTTGTTTTAAACATCAAGCACAAGAGCTTTGGAGAAATTTTCAGGAAGCATTTTCAATGAGCAAACCGAGTTGCATTACATTCATAGACTTTATTGTAAGGTGCCACATGATAATGATGTCAGTGAATTACAGTTGAAGGAAGAAATTATCCAAAACATTCTTTCTAAAGTTGGCATATCTGTTGAAAAATCGATTGAGATTTGTCCCAAAACAATACAGCAGAGTGAAGAGCCAGCATGGTATTTTGAACGGGCCAAAAGAATAACTGCATCTATCTTTGGAAAAGTTTTAAACAGAAGACCAAATAACTATCCATCCTCTCTAATAAAAGCAGTTCTTGATAAAAACAAATATTGTTTAGAGTCAATGCCAGCACCACTAAGATGGGGAATCAATAATGAGAATACTGCAATTGCAAAATACAGTGAACTTAATCCTGAACTTGAGGTGAAGAAATGTGGCTTTATTATAAGTCCAAAATGGCCCTGGATGGGTGGTACACCTGATGGTATCACTTTGATAATGATTGTCCTGTTGGAGGCTTAGAGGTAAAGTGTCCTTTTTCAAAGAGAGACATGACATTGGAGGAAGCTTCTTTGAAAGACCGGACTTTCTTCTTAAAGCTAACTGATGCTGGCTTAAAACTGATAGAAAAACATGCATATTGTTATCAATGTCAAGGACTTGTAAATTTACTGGGACTTGAACGGATTGACTTTGTAGTTTTTACGTTAAAAGATTTTCATTGTTAAAGAATTTATAAGGATAAGTCTTTGTGGAAGTCAAAAATGCTTCCATCATTGACTGTCTTTTTTGTTAACCACATTTTGCCAAGGTTGTAAAAATGTTGCCAAAGTATTGTGAAACTATAAAAGCCTTTCATTTATTGCAAAAGCTTACACACATGTTTAATTTTTTTCAGAATGTCATAATCATGTTAGTATTCATTTGTATCTTTTAATTTCTAATATTTAATAGAACCATTATATGTTTAAAGCTTTCATTTAAATAGGAAAATGTTAGAAAGACAAAATAAAAAGATCTAGTGTGTTCTTGTAGAGATAAAATTGAAAACCACCAAAAATTAAAATCATTATCTGATTTCATTTTGATTTGATTATATCTAATTTAACTGTAAAAAAGTATGTAGTTACAGAAAAGAAAGTATCCTTTACAAAAATGTCCTTAATCATCTGCTGCATTTTCATTGATTAAAGGAGGAGGGAAGTTTGTAAGATAGGCACAAATAACCCAGATTTCATTCAACTGAGATGCCATTGTTAAAGGAAAAACTGAGCTTAAAATTTTAAATGTTTTTATCCTTGAAATGGCCCTCTCTACGTGGATTCGAGCTGATGCAATTTGCCTCGTCTCTATCTCCTCTCCCAAAGACAAATGCTCTTTTCCCCTCATAAATGGTGGAATGTAGAGGCCTACACCTTCTGGTAAGTCACTCTCTATGTCAAAGCCTCTATCTGCCATCACAGAGTCACCTTTCTCAAGTAGACCATAGAGTTGGCTGTTGCGTGTAGCATTTTTATCACTGGTCCTCCCTGTATAAAGTTCTGATACAAAGGAAACTGCTCCAGCTGGACTGATTCCTAGAAGGCCCTTAGCTGTGTTATAGTGCTTGTAATTTGAATATGTTGCATTTTGTGACCTCAGTGAAGATGGCCTCTCAATATAAAGCTCAGTGCAGTCAATGATTACTCTTGTTGAAGGATATGTCTCTTTGAAACAGTTTGGCATTGTTTTCATAACAGAAGATTTAGATTGCCATATTGGGTATGATCTGAACTTGCCTTGTAAAAAATCAAGCCAAGTGATCCATATTCTGGAGAACTGGGTTGTGGATATTCCTGCTCTGTAAGCAATGTCTTCTTCAAGGAGACCTAACCTTAGTCTCACAAGAACAAGAAAAATTCTTGTTCAGCAGGTAAGCTTCTCTTTGGACCTCGTTTTATGTGGTCAGCTGATATAATTTTGCTGGCATTTGTATTTGAGCCGACATAAATTAAATTGATGACAGCAGGACCAAAGGATTCCAAAATTATTTTGAAAGTTTTATAATCTGGAAGTCGAGTATAGAATCGAAAAACTTTGGGTTGTCCTTCAAACCATCAGCAGAGAAGTTTTTAGGTTTACCCTCAGAACCTGTTTGTTGTCTCAGGTCCTTATTTGCCTCCTCAAGTTGTTTATTTTTCAATTCCAATTCTGCAACGCTTTTCATCAGTTCATTTTCAATGTCATTTGATGGTTCTGGGCCAGAAGATATTAATTGATCTTCACTATGTCCATGACAGGCTGGATCTGAATCAATGTGAACATGGTCTGAGGTTTGTTCGGTAGACAAGTTCATGTTTCCAAAAAGTATTGTAGCCTTCTGTAAATTACTTGACCTGCTCCTTGCTTTAACGGTTGTTCTCATTCTCTGCTCTTTCTTGTCTTTATTCTTTGGCACTATCGTAGGGATATTATTCATGTAGGTTTTCCTACCATCAATGAAGTGTTTTGAGCATACCCTGTGGCCTTGGCCTGGATTGTCAAAGTTTTTCCTCGAAATCATGCGAAGCCACCGTTTACGGAGCTCTTGCTTTTCCTTACTTTTGCCGTTGGGAATCACATAAAAGAAAAGCTGTGGATCTCTTAGGCTGTTGCTAAAACATTCTGGAACGCAGCAAGTGATCCCTCCAACGACAGATTTAATTTTTCCATCATTCCTCTCTCCGCCAACAGCATCTACCATTGATCTAGTTTGTGTCGCATCCCCGTTGCTGTTCTCGTAAAGTTCTTCTGTTGCCGAAGCTTCCTTGGCACTGGTCCCCGGACTAGAGGTTTGAAAAGATCTAGGGAAGTACTGGCCATCAGAATTCGCTGGATTTTCCATGATTTTTTGGCAATTTTTTTAACAATTTTGCAGCAGCAAAATACAACGTGTCTCGATCACCATAGAAAACGTAAACAGACGGCCGCGATATTAAATACAAGTACCACAATGCATTGCGGACTCAGAAGCGCATGACGTAATAAGGGAAAAGGTCTATTGTTAAAAAAGTAGTTGGTTCATGTTTTATTTACAATTGAAATGTTAGTTTTAATTTAACAGCTCAACATATTTCCTTAAAAACTTTGTAAGCTCAAACTTTCTGCGGCATTAAAGAACACAAAATTGTTTATTAATGTCCCAAAAACTTGTTTTTCTGGGGTGATTGACTTTCTAATTGATAATTGTGATTTTACCTAATTCCTTAGTTTAATAGTTTTTTGTAAAATTTCAACCATACAAAGTAAACCGTTCGATTTCTGATTTTTTATATGAAACCAAAAATCTTGATCTATCTTTGTATGAATGCAATTTTCTCTGAAACTATGCAAGGTACTGAAACGAAAAGTCAACAGATTATTTTTGAAGGTACGGCGAGTACAAATATTGTCAGCAGTTTTCAAAAAAATATTGCATTCATGTTTTATTAACAATTGGAATGTTAGTTTTCAAATTTGCAGCTTGATATATTTCCTTAAAAACTTTGTAAGTTCAAACTTTCAGCGACATGAAAGGACTCGAAAGTGTTTTTAAATTTTTCAAAAACTTATTTTTCTGGTTTGGTTGACATTCTAATTGATACTTTTGACTTTTCCTAGTTCCTTAGTTTCATATTTTTTTTAAAATCTCAACCGTACAAAGTAAACCCTTTGATTCTGATTTTGTATATGAAACAAAAAATCTCTATTTACCTTTGTATGAATGCAATTTTCTCTGAAACTATGCAAGATACTGAACCGAAATTTTCACAGTTTGTTCTTGAAGGTACGGCCAGTTTAAATATTGTCAGCCATTGTCAAAAAATTATTTGTTTCATGTTTTTTTCACAATTGAAATGTTAGTTTTAAATTTGCAGCTTAATATATTTCCTCAAAAACTTTGTAAGTTCAAACTTTCAGCGGCATTAAAAAACTCAAAAATATTCTCAAATGTCCTAAAAACTTGTTTTTCAGGTGTAGTTGACCTTCTAATTGATGATTTTGACTTTTTCTAGTTCCTCAGTTTCATACTTTTTTGTAAAATCTCAACCATACAAAGTAAACCCTTAGATTTCTGATTTTGTATATGAAACAAAAAATCTTGATTTATCTTTGTATGAGTGCAATTTTCTCTGAAACTATTCAAGATACTGAAACGAAAATTTCACAGATTATGTTTGAAGGTACGGCAAGTTCACATATGGTTAGCAATTTTCAAAAAAATATTTTTTTCTTGTTTTATTTACAATTGAAATGTTTGTTTTCAATCTGCAGCTTAATAAACTTCCTTAAAAACCTTGTAAGTTCAAAGTTTCAGCGGCATTAAAAAACTCAAAAAAATTTTCAAACGTCCTAAAAACTTGTTTTACTGGTGTGGTTGACTTTATAATCAATACATTTGACTTTTCCTAGTTCCTTAGTTTCAAAGTTTTTTTTTTAAATCTCGACGGTACAAAGTAAACTCTTCGATTTCTGATTTTGTATATGAAACCAAAAATCTTGATTTATCTTTGTATGAATGCAATTTTCTCTAAAACAGTGCAAGATATTGAAACTAAAATTACACAGTTTATTCTTGAAGGAACGGCGAGTTCAACTATGGTCAGAAATTGTGAAGAGAATATTTGGTTCATGTTTTATTCACAATTGAAATGCTAGTTTTCATTTAGCAGCTTAATAAATCTCCTTAAAAACTTTAAAAGTTCAAACTTTCACGGGCGTTAAAGAACTCAAAAGTATTTTTAAATGTCCCAAAAACGTGCTTTTATGGTGTGATTGACTTTCTAATTGATAATTTTGATTTTTCCTCGTTCCTTAGTGTTATGGACTCCCTATGGACACCATTGTTTTAGTATCTATTATTGTATATCGGACTAGCCGAGTGAAGGTTGATGTTATGTTCAAGAGATAAACAAAGAGTATCTTTTCCGATCTTTACACTTACTTGCGGGCCAACATAAGATATAATAAAGTGGCGACGAGAAAAAGCGAATAATCAAGACTTGCAAGGAATATGGCTGCAAAACTTGACCTGGCACCACTACCGTGTTTCGATCCCCATAGCGATCAAAGTAACCTTGCTGCACGTTGGAAAACATGAATTAAACGATTTCAAACATTCCTCAAAGCAGCCAACATCTCGAATAAAACACAGCAGCGAGCATTGCTACTCTACCAAGCAGGCCCTGAAGTCCAGGACATTTTCGAAACACTCACCGATACGGGAAGAGACGATGATGTGGACGCGGCAATCAAAAGTCTCACAGAATATTTTGCTCCAGCACAAAACACAGATTTTGAAATATTTCGTTTCCGCCAAGCAAAGCAACAACCCCAAGAAACTTTGGAGACTTTTCACACTCGCTTGAGGAAACTGGCTCAAACATGTTTATTTCCGACAGATTCAATGGATAGAGAAATAAAACAGCAAATTATTCAAGGTTGCTCGAGTTCCTCATTGCGGAAGTACGCCCTGAAAACAAAGGAGGTCACATTACAAGACATTTTGGTGTAAGGCAAAACAGATGAAATCAGTAAAGAACAGGCAAAAGAAATAGAGAGACAAACCACAGAGCCAACAGAAAAATTGCAAGCCATGAAAATCGAGCTCAAACGGGACAGACCGAGTGGGAAAGGAAAAACACAACAAAAACACAATTCTGCAAATCCACCTTCACGGAAACCAGCTATTTGTTACAACTGTGGATTCGATTACCCTCATCGAAATAAACCCTGCCCTGCCAAGGGAAAAGTGTGCAGTTACTGCAAGAAAAAATCACTTCACTCGCTGTTGCAGACAACGTCAGAAAAGCCAACAAAACCGCGAGAAAGTAAACATAGTACAAGACAATACCAGCTCAGATGACAGCTCAGAGGAATATGTTTACTGTATGGATAAATCGAACGAAAACACAAAGAAATTGGAGACTAAGCTCAAAATCAATGGACAGGAAGTTTGGTTTCTCATCGACACAGGAGCGAGTGTCAACATTCTGGATGAAAAGTCGTTTGACAGAATTAATGCCACAGGGAAACCAGTCACGATCACGAAGTCAAACACCAAAATCTTTGCCTACGGATCAAAAGCACCACTCCAGCTGTTAGGTACTTTCGAAGAAACTGTTGAAACAAGTAAAAAGATTTCTCTTGCACGATTTCACGTTGCAAGGAACGTAAAAGGGAATTTGCTCAGTTCTCAAACGGCTCAAGATTTGCACCTTATCAAGATAAACATACACAGCGTGCAACTAGAAACAAAAACAGCCACACAAACACATTCAGCCCAGCCCACTGTAAATTCACCAAGTTACGTCAATCACTTGTTGAAGCAGCACAAGAAGGTTTTTAAAGGCGTCGGAAATTTGAAAAACTTTGAAGTTAAGCTACACACAAATCCTGCAATCAAACCAGTCATCCAAGCACAACGTCGTATCCCTTTCCATATACAAAAGAAAGTCGAGGAAGAACTAAAGCGACTCGAGGAAGATGACATAATCGAAAAAGTGGAAGGAGCCACACAATGGGTAAGTCCTTTGGTAATTACCCCGAAGAAGAACAGCGAAGAAATAAGAATTTACGTGGACATGCGTTTACCCAACACCTCAATTTTACGCACAAGACACCCTATGCCAACGACAGATGAACTGATTGCTGATTTAAACGGTGCGTGTCATTTTTCTAAACTTGATTTGAAACAAGGATACCATCAGCTGACACTGGCAGAAGAGTTAGCAGCAGAGAGAAATCTAACAACATTCACAACACACAAGGGACTCAGGAGATACAAAAGACTTTGTTTTGGTGTAAACTCAGCAGCAGAAATTTTCCAAAACACCATTTCTCAGACTATTCAAGATATCAGCAATGCCAAAAATATGTCTGATGATGTAATTATCTGGGGGAAAACCCTTGAGGAGCACAATACTGCATTAGAAAAAGTATTGCAACGATTCGAGGAAAAGGGAATTACTCTCAATGAAGGGAAATGCCGTTTCAACAAAACACGTCTTCAATTCTACGGCCTAGTCTTCAGCAAGGAAGGAGTTAGCCCTGACCCAAGTCTTGTACAAGATTTTGTCAATACACAACCACCAAAGAATGTTAGTGAAGTCCGTAGTCTACTATGAATGTCTCAATACTGCGCAAAATTTATTCAAGACTATGCATCAATCACAGAGCCCCTGCGAAGGTTGACACAGAAAAATGCACAATTTCAATGGGGAAAAGACCAACAAGAAGCATTCGAAAAAATAAAGAAAGCTCTATTATCGGATCCAGTTATGGTCTACTTTGATATTGCCAAGCACACAGCAGTCACTACAGATGCCAGTCCATACGGAATTAGTGCAATACTGTCTCAAACATCGACACCAGAAGCGACAGATCACAAAATCGTAGCATATGTATCAAGATCGTTGACACCTGTCGAACAGCGTTATTCTCAGACTGAACGAGAAGCACTAGGACTAGTATGGGGAATTGAACGTCTACATCTGTTCCTATATGGAGCAGGAAACTTCAATGTCTTTACAGATCACAAGGCACTCGAAACAATCCTCAACAATCCAGTTGCCAAACCACCCGCTCGTATCGAGAGATGGCAATTGCGACTGCAAAACTACAGCTTTACCGTAAAGTTCAAGAAAGGATCAGATAATCCGTCAGACTACCTATCAAGACATCCAGCGTCGCATCGCTCGGAGCAAGACACAATTGCCGAAGAATATGTAAACTTCATCACCAAAAATGCCATTCCAAAAGCCATGACATTGAAAGAAATTGAGGAGGAGACGGAAAAGGATAAAACCCTCCAAGTTGCAATTGACCTGATTCGCAGAAATCGATGGCATGAAATGGATAAAATCCAAGATCCTACCATCAACAGACGAGATCTCAAAGTTCTTTGCAGCATCAAACAGGATCTCACTGTCACAGGAAACATAATTCTAAAGAGCACAAGAATCGTCATACCACAGACACTACGCCGCAAAGCTATAGAACTTGCTCATAAACCAGGACATTCAGGGACAACTAAGACGAAAATGTTACTGCGTGAGAAAGTATGGTTCCCATATATCGATAAAACAGTGAAAGCATTCGTAGATCAATGCACTGCTTGCCAAGCAACGGGACATGAAAAGAGCAAGGAACCGATGCAGTCAACAGACCTACCACCAGCACCATGGCACACGGTCAAAGCGGATTTCTTTGGACCAGTACCATCCGGAGAATATTTGCTGTCTGTCATTGACACATACAGCCGTTTTCCTGAAGTCGAAATTGTTAAATCAACGGCAGCAGGAAGCATCATTCCAAAACTTGATCGTATTTTTGGAACACACGGGATTCCAGTCAAATTTATATGTGACAATGGTCCACCATTTAACGGAATTGAAATGGAAACATACATGAAAACATGGGGAATTGAATTCAAACCAGGAACACCACTATGGCCTAGACAGAATGCAGAAGTAGAATCTTTCAATCGACCTCTCAAGAAACTACTTCAAACGTCCAAAATTGAAGGAAACAATTGGAGAAAGGAACTGCACTTATTTCTGTTAAACTATAGGTCAACACCACACTGCACAACTCAAGTTGCACCCGCTGAACTTCTGTTCAATCGTGTGATCAGAACGAAAATTCCTGCCATAGGAATCACGTCGAAACCATCCAACAAACACAAGCTTGTCAAACGAAACGATAGAGATAGCAAGACAAAAGCCAAAGTCTACTATGACAAACGTCAGCACACAAAACCATCCGACATCAAAGAAGGAGATCTCGTACTCGTCAAACAAGAGAGAAAGAACAAACTGACAAGTAAATTCGATCCGAAGCCATATCGCGTCACTGATATCAGAGGAACTAAAGTAATCGCTGAAAGATCTGACCATAGGATAACTCGAAACATCTCATTTTTCAAAAAGTTTTATAACTCCTTTGAATCAAAAATCGAATCAGAGACTGATGATGATGATGATACAGTTCAAACAGACACTGAACCTGAAGCCGATAGTGTACATCGATATCCAAGGAGACCACGCATGATGCCTATGTACTATGGTCAAGTTATCACACATTGAAAACTACTTTATTAATAAACTGCTGAATATATAACCGATGTTAGTAATTTTGATTTCCGAAGAAGAGGAGAGATGTTATGGACTCCCTATGGACACCATTGTTTTAGTATCTATTATTGTATATCGGACTAGCCGAGTGAAGGTTGATGTTATGTTCAAGAGATATACAAAGAGTTTCTTTTCCGATCTTTACACTTACTTGCGGGCCAACATAAGATATAATACTTAGTTATACAGTTGTTTGTGAAATTTTACCCGTAAAAAGTAAACCCTAGGATTTCTGATTTTGCATTTGAGTCCGAAATTCTTTTGATTTATCTTTGTATGAATGCAATTTTTTCTGAAACTATGTAAGATACTGAAGCTAAATTTGTACAATTTATTCTTTAAGATACGGCGAGTTCAAATATGGTCATCAATTGTGAAGAAAATATTTGTTTTATAATTTTTTTTCAATTGAATTGTTAGTTTTCATTTAGCAGCTTAATATATTTCCTTAAAAACTTTAAAAGTTCAAACTGTCAGGGGCATTAAAGCTCCAATGCAACGAAAAACTGTTTTCAAAGATTTTCACTTAATTTTATACAATTGAGGCCACTGAAAACGAATCTGTTGTTACTTTTGGTAAAGGGGGTCGGCAAGGCACTTATATTTAGACGAAAAGTTGCCATTCTTCTCAAAAAGCGGTCGACGCGGTCAGTTGACTCCTTTTCAACCCGTGACGTCAGAAGGTTTGCAAGCCTCCTGACATTCTAAATAATGGCGGAAAGTAAACAGTCAACACATACGAAGCCTTCTCGCAGAGGCGGCAAGTTTTGCGTTGCTGGCACTGCCAATGGTAGTAGTTGTCAAAATACTAGCTACTGCAAAGATGTGAAAATGCACTATTTTCCATCGAACGAGGAACTTCGACGAAAATGGGTAGCCTTCGTGAGAAGACATCGCCACAATTGGAAGCCAACTTCGACATCGGTACTCTGCTCTGTACATTTTGAGCCTACATGCTATGAAAGGCGGCTGGACATCGCTGGTATACCCAGTGAACTACAATTAAAGAAAAACAGATTGCTGAAAGACTCTGTGCCGACAATTGATGCAGTTGAACGCCAAATTCCGAAAGGGCCTACGGCAAGACAGCGAAGACAGGTGGGTTATCCTATAGTTCGATTTTTAAAATATGTTTTATTTTGAAAAGAGTTTAAGTAAAGCATATTCTTGCTGAATGGTGTGGCAGTCTGAATTATTATAGCGTTTGTTAAGAAATTGAGTCCTTTAATAGCTGATATGCTATTCAAAAATGTCCCCTTGAAGATCAAAGCATGTGTGCCTTTTGCAGATCAAGCGACACGCGCTGTCATCGTCGACAACAGTGGATTTTGAAGAGCTCACGGAGGTAGATCTGGAAAGCGAAATGCCCCATATCAATGAAGATGCTGAGACTGGTATTGAGATGCAATCTCAACCAACTGAAAGTGATGTGGTAGAAGTACCCAAAACTGTGCCTTGTGGCAACTGCAGCATTTTAAAGTTGAAGATAAGGAGATATCAGCAGAATATCTACAAGCTTAAAATTAAAAAGCAGCATCTAAAGGATCAAATCCAAACGGTAAGATATATGAAAATTGAAAATAATGGAAAGTTGCATATGTCTTTATAAGGTGCTACTTTTGTTTTTTATTCTTAGTTATTGTTAAGTAACACCAACTGTATGGATTTGTTTGCTTTATATGTAATTGTGATATCATTATGGTTTTTTCATAAGTTGACAAGTCCTGATACTGATGATGAAAATATTCCAACCGACCAATGTACAAGTATCAGTTTACCTACAAGTGGCTTTTTTGAAGATGTTGTGATGAAAACATTGATTTGCCTGACGAGGTCCAAGAAGAATCTGAAGAATCAGATGAAGAATGGAAGGAAAGTGAATGGGAGGAAATTGAAATGGGAGACCTGTCAGATGCTGAGGATCAAGAGTGTCATCCAACATATGAATTTCCCCCTGAAAGGTAATGTATATTATACTCTTGAGTACTTTTCCTTGAAGGGATTTTTTATCAGACTGCGAGGAATTATTATCAATCCTATATCAGTTTCTCATGCCAGAAATTTACAAAGGTCTCACAAAAAAGCTACACTGTTTCACTCATGGCAACTGATGTTACAGAGAAATTTCGATGCCTGTCAGATCTAGGCAAGTCACTCTGTACAAGCCATCATGGTTGGGTATACAGAATGATTTTGAACAGTTTTTAAAAGACAATGACTTTAAGAGAGACTGTATGGTGCTTCAAAGTTATTTAAAGAAACATATTCTCCATTATAGCACTTCAGATGCAAAGTCACTGAAAGAAGAACCAAAATATGTGGTGTTTCATACAATGCTCATGCAGCTATTTTGTATGTTTTGTTTCCATTGCCACGATGATAACCCAGAAGTATCAATGCAGGTGAATGGTACCATGGTGACTGTGCTACAAGAGTGTGCTCATTGTGGAAAGCAATTTCAATGGCGTAGCCAGCCTTTAGTTCTTGGAAGATTCCCTGCTGGGAATGTACTCTTCAGTTTTTCTGTGCTCATGGCAGGAGCATCTATTAGCAAAATGCTGTTGGCGATGAAGCATTTTGGACTTTCTGTCATCAGTGCTAGAACATTCTGCTACCATCAACAAAAGTTTTTATTTCCAGTAATTTTGCGGCACTGGGAAGAGCAACAACAAAAACTCTTGTCAACCTTATCACTAATCAAAGATTCTGTTTGGGCTGGTGATGGACGCTTTGATAGTATTGGCCATAGTACCAAGTTTGGGACATATACAATGCTCTCTCCTACATTAATGAAAATAGTGCACTTTGAGCTGGTGCAGGTAAGTTTAGACCACACCTTACATCATTATTTTTAAAAGTGTACTTTTAGCTGCAATACAGTTGATGTAAGGTCACAGCCTATCAACAAACTGCTGATTGTCTAATGTTATCACAAAAGTGGGCTCATGTCAAAAGCAGTGGGAAACAAATACTGCTCAATCCTTGGATTATTTTCTCGAATTTCTTTAGTAATTAATAGATCATTGTTCTGTTTAATATATATTACTTTTTTGTTTATTCTCAGGCAAATGAGGCAGGGAGCAGTAATGCCATGGAATTGTTTGGAGCCAAGAAGTGTTTTACATTTTTATTATCGAAAGGGATCAGAATACCAATTTTCATCTCAGATAGGCATCGTGGCATAGCAAAGTGGATCAGAGAAAATCAGCCACTTACATCACATTTCTTTGATTTATGGCATGTTGCAAGGACTATTTGCAAGAAAGTATTGATGGCAAGCAAGGAGAAGGGCTGTGAGGTTCTCAGTTCTTGGGTCAAGAACATCAAGAAGCATTTGTACTGGTGTGCTAGTTCTACAAAGCTAGGCTTTGGCGCCCTTGTTGTGGCTAAGTGGGAATCCTTTTTGCAGCATGTTACTGGTTCTCATAAAGATCATCCAAATTCCCTCTTCAAAAACTGCCTTCATGGTGAAATTAAGCCTCGCAAATGGCTGAAAATAGGTATTTGTGACTATGCTATAGAAGGCTATAATTCCTTATCAGGAGTAAGTGCAAGAAGGCACTACCTCGAATACTTTGCCCAATCAATGCTGTTTGTTGGATTTAAAACCAAGTGTGTCTTGAGATTGCTTAGAATTGCAAGATACTGTTTAATATTTTATTCTTACCTTTCCTTTGTTTGGAAAGGACACATGACAGATTCTCTGACAGAGTCAGTTTAAACATTTCCTATAAAAATTGTAAGTAAGCAAGTTTGTTTAATCAAAGCAGACAATTGTATGCTGTTGCTGATCACTTCAGGCTTAATACCTTACCAAAGCAAGAGATACTGGAATTAAATTTGATGAATCCATAGTAAACACTGCCAAGTGCTGAAGCAATAAAATGTTTATGTTGCACTGTAAATTATATTGTTATTATAGGGTCTCCAGCCTATGACAAGCTGCTGTCAATCTGCCAGAACAAAAGAATTCTTGAAGATATTTCAAAACTATCCCCAGATGCACAGACAAGTTCACTAGAAGCATTTCATGCCCTTCTAAATCACTGGCACCCAAAGATGATTTGTTTCTCTTGGATGGGAACAATGTGCAGGTACATATAGTGCAGTGCAAACATTTGTAATAACGTTGATGACAAAAAACAGACGAAAATCAAAACCTTTACAGATGTCATACTTTGTCTTATTATCCCTTGGTGTAGTGATCTGAACTTGTAATAAACTCAACCATTTATAAAATGCATGTTAAAAAACAGTTTTTATATCTTTTAGGCATATCCTAGCCTCTCTCCATTTTAATGAGAATGTGAAGCGTGATTCGAGAAAATCAAAAGATGGCAAAACATACTACCATGTTAAGTACCCAAAATTCAAGCTGGGAGAGGAAACTGTTAGAGAAATTACCATGAAGCCTACTTACAGTGAGCAGTATTTATATGTTTTTCATAATATATGATCAAAAGCTACACATATCTCACACACAAACTATCCAGTTTGTGTATGATTTGCATTAAAGGAATAGAAAAGTGGTGTTTGTGACACCATGCACACTGGGTCACATGATATGCCAACAATGGTCGAACACTTGACGATAATTTCATGACAATTAAAGCGGAATTCAAACAGACAATAATGATCTCTTTCTGCATTATGTCAAAAAACGGTTTTGTGTGTCAGTTTACCTTTATAAGCTTCTTCAGAACAACTGTTCCACACAATCAGAGCATATAATAAGCATACAGAGCATTAGTTGTCCGATGATTGCATTAAGCATGAAATGTCAGAGTAGCAACCTAGAACTATCCTAATCAATGTCTGGCAAATTTTCTAGAATATGTCAAAGAAATGTCAGAGTTGCTGTTCACTATGCAACCCCAAGAGCTTAAAGAGGTTCTGGACAGGTACAAGAAAAAAACACCAGAGCTACTTAACAGACAATTCAAGGAACGTGTGGGAAAAACTGAAGCAGTCTCAAAGTTTTTAGCTAGGAAGAAGCTAACCACAGAATATTATCCTCCAGGTGAGGATAAACTTTGGTTCTTGAAAATAATTTCTTTTTCTGGCAATGAAAATTTGAAAGTTGTTCTTGTACTTATGTCTTAGTAACTTGTTTTTCAAAACAGACATTGTAACTTATACATGATACCTACTGCAGTTGTTGTACCAATGAAATGTACATGGCACTTTTCACAATAAAAAAGTTTTTCCTTTTCTTTTGTTGAAACTTTTTGCATTCCTATAAGTAAAAGGCTTTCCCTGCAGCTTTCTCATGCCATTAAAAACAGTAATATAACTTAGTAATATAAATTGCTGGTTAATAGCTAATTGTTATTTTTAAATCTCACAGTGGAAGAACAAGAACAGCTGCTGAAGGCACGGAAAAGAGCTGTAGAAGCTGGGTCACTTATGGCCTCAGAAAAAAAGAGAAAGAAAGTGCAAAAAGTGCAAGAAGCCCATGAAAGGCCCCACACGTCAATCTTGCAGGGAACCTGTTGATTTCTAATGATTTTCTTCAATTTATATTTTTTATTATCTAATTTTACTTGGAAAACTTCTTTGAGGCGAACAAAATTAAAAATCTAGGCCACATCCTTTTTACTGTCAGAAAACATTGACATAGAGTAAAACAGCTGGTATAATTACAAACAATCTATTTCTAGCTAAGTGGTAATATTGAAAAGAAAGGAGGCACTGGTACTAGTAAAAACAAGATATTATCTATTCAAACATAATGATACAATTTAATTATTAACAGCAATGAAAGTGTTTCATTCTCTTTCTTCAGTTGTAGCATATCCTTTGGAAGCTGGATTTGGAAATCTACTTCTTATGTTGTTATATATACAAGCAGGCAGTGGTCGTGTTTTGTTCCACCCTAAATAACCAAAGATCCACAGTATGAGCCACCTGTAACTCACTGCTCTTATAAACCTGTACAAAGGAATGATTGAGTGGCTTTTAGTTCTTACTATTTTGCTTCATGAAACCTATATAAGAAACATTCAGTGCAACAATGATTTTAGTATATTTGTAAATACTTATATGGAAAGTCTTTGTCAATTCTGTGTCATTGTTAGAGTCTAATATGTCTCATTAAAGCATCCATGTTATCTTGGAATTTATTTGGATTCATGGATTTAATTTGTTTAGTTGTCAAAATTTGCTGAAGGTTGTCTTTTTAAAATATTTCCTGACAATTTCCCACTGGGAATTCTCTATTGGTAAGTGAGGGGTGGGGTTAACACAATTGGGTTCCGGCAACAAAATGTGTCTGGTGTACATTCCCTTGCCTAAGTGGAGTGGTCTATTTTGAAGCTGTTTTTGAGAAAACTTGGCAAGGTATGACTTAAAAAAGTTTTACTTTTGAATCTTTCATAAATATGCTGAGAACGATCTCATTTTTCTAACTAAAAGGGAGTTAATCTAGGGCTCAATTTTTAGGAAAGTATACCTTAAAAATCAACTAAAACTTGAATTTTACTCTTATTTTTCTGCCAGAAAAAATTGTTATCTTTTCCAACAGCAAGGAAAATATTGAAATGTCAATATACTCGTTTTCAGTTTGATTTCCTCTTCTTCTGTATGGTCTACCAATTTTATCTTTCAAAAGTGGTGCAACCATCATTAAATTTGTCTGGTTTGTGAGAGCACTGTAAGCAGGGTAGTTCGTGACACATTTTATTTCATCTATGGTGCCATCAAAAGTCAGTTTTCCGACTGCCTCTGCAATGTCCCAGCAGCAGCAAACTCTCTTGCACCAATTAAAAGATCCACTTTGCACTCATTACAGCTACACCTGCAACAGGTTTTAAAAACTTTCAAATACAATTTCTGTAGACTGAAATGCTTACTTTATCAGGGAGTAACCTGTTCTTACTTAGAAAACACTTCACAGTGTAAGGCTGAGAAAATATAAGGAGAGCAATGGTATTTGCCACTACATGGAAAGATACAACACATGCAGGACAGCAACTGCCCTTCTCCTAATAATAAAGGTCGTAAAGTGCAAATTTTCAATATATTCTGTGTATTTAGAGAGATAACTATGCAAAAATTTATGTTTTTACTGTAAATAAAGCACCCAGCTAAGGTAATCCGCACAAAAAAAATTTCTTGAGTATTTTACAGCAGACCCCGTTTTTGCCCCCCCCCCCCCTAAAATAATTATTCCTCTCGTAACAACACGGTTTTGAAAGGTTTAACCTCAAATTTAACACGTTGATCTCAGTTTGCTTAGGCCCACTGTTGTAAACTTGCATTACCAACTGTTTCGTTTCTAACGCCAGATTTAGGCCGAGGCCTAAATTACTGTGTGGCAAATTATATTTAGTATACAATTGCTTACCAGGAATCAACAGCTTCGGTTCGCCGGAATCTTTTCTTTAACGTTGTGTAGAGGATTCCATCTTCGTCTGCTTCAATATTTTCGTCACTAGCATCATCATCTGAGGAGGAAGCTAATGGCTCCCCATCATATGGATCGACTATCGGTAATATTTCCCCAATATCCTCTCTATCTGATGATTCATGACTTGAATCAGATGCCGATGTGTCTTGTTCACTTGCTGACATCTTTTTTGACTATGTCCCTCAAAGTTTCGCGAATTTATTCTTTTCGCACTTCGACAACTTGCTCAACCCCGTACAACCGTACAACCACAATGTATAGTGACCGTTGTTGTTCTGAACTGCAAACCTTTCAACGTCACTAGTGCCCAGATCCCTAAAAGCCTAGGTCGCCAAGAGCTGCCGACATTGCAAGGCTAAATGCCGATAATGCAGACGGAAGATCGCAAAACAAACTATACCATGTGATAGAGCAAGGTTTAAACCTTGGGTTTTGCACAAAAAAATATTATCAAAAATTTCGTTGCATTGGAGCTTTAAAGAACTCAAAAGTATTTATTAATGTCCCAAAATCTGGTTGTTCTGGTGTGGTTGTTTTGTTAATTGATAATTTTGTTTTTTCCTAATTCCTTTTTTTCATAGTTTTTTGTAAAATTTCAACCGTACAAAGTAAACCCTTCAATTACTGATTTTGTGTTTGAAACCAAAAATCTTGATTTATCTTTGTATGAATGCAATTTTTTCTGAAACTATGGAAGATACTGGAACTAAATTTGCACAGTTTATTCTTTAAGGCTCGGCAAGTTCAATTTGGTAAGCAAATGTAAAAAAAAATCTTTGGCTGATGTTTAATTCACAATTGAAATGTTAGTTTCAATTTTGCAGGTTAATATATTTCTCTAAAAACTTTAAAAGTTCAAACTTTAGCGGCATTAAAGAACTCGAAAGTATTTATTAATGTCCCAAAATCTGGTTGTTCTGGTGTGGTTGTTTTGTTAATTGATAATTTTGTTTTTTCCTAATTCCTTTATTTCATAGTTTTTTGTAAAATCTCAACTTTACAAAGTTAACCCTTCGGTTTCTGATTTTGTATTTGAAACCAAAATCTTGATTTATCTTTGTATGAATGCAATTTTTTCTGAAACTATGGAAGATACTGGAACTAAATTTGCACAGTTTATTCTTTAAGGTTCGACAAGTTCAATTTGGTAAGCAAATGTAAAAAAAACATTTGGTTGATGTTTTATACACAATTGAAATGTTAGTTTCAATTTTGCAGGTTAATATATTTCTTTAAAAACTTTAAAAGTTCAAACTTCAGCGGCATTAAAGAAATCAAAAGTATTTATTAATGTCCCAAAAGCTGTTTGTTCTGGTGTGGTTGTTTTTCTGATTGAAGATTGTGAAATTTTAGCCGTACAAAGTAAAACTTGGGATTTCTGATTTCGTATTTGAAACCAAAAATCTGGATTTATCTTTGTATAAATGCAATTTTCTCTGAATTTATGCAAGATACTGAAACTAAATTTGCACAGTTTATTCATTAAGGTACGGCGAGTTTAAATATGGTAATCAGTTGTCAAGAAAATATTTGGTTCATGATTTATTTACAATCAAAATGTTAGTTTTCATTTAGCAGCTTAATATATTTCCTTAAAAATCTCAAAAGTTCAAACTTCAGCGGCATTAAAGAACTCAAAGTGTTTATAAATATCCCAAAAACTTGTTTTTTTAACTAATAATTTTGATTTTTCCTAGTTTCCTAGTTTCATAGTTTTTTTGGGAAATTTCAAACGTACGAAGTAAACCCTTCGATTACTGATTTTCTATTTGAATTCGAAATTCTCTTGATTTATCTTTGTATGAATGCGAATTTCTCTGACACTATCCAAAATCTTGAAACTAAAATTGCACAATTTATTCTTTAAGGTACGGCGAGTTCAAATATGGTCATAAACTGTGAAGAAAATATTTGGTTCATGTTTTATTTACAATTGAATTGTTAGTTTTCATTTAGCAGCATAATATATTTCCTTAAAAACTTTAAAAGTTCAATCTTCAGCGGCATTAAAGAACTCGAAAGTATTTATTAATGTTCCAAAAACTGTTTGTTCTGGTGTGTTTGTTTTTTTAATTGATAATTTTGATTTTTTCCTAATTCCTTTATTTCATAGTTTTTTGTAAAATTTCAACCGTACAAAGTAAACCTTTCGATTACTGATTTTGTATTTGAAACCAAAATCTTGATTTATCATTGTATGAATGCAATTTTTTCTGAAACTTTGGAAGATACTGGATCTAAATTTGCACAGTTTATTCTTTAAGGTTCGGCAAGTTCAATTTGGTAAGCAAATGTAGAAAAAAATATTTCGTTGATCTTTTATTCACAATTGAAATGTTAGTTTCAATTTTGCAGGTTAATATTATTTCTTAAAAACTTTAAAAATTCAAACTTTCAGCGGCATTAAAGAACTCAAAAATGTTTTTAAATGTCCCAAAAACTTGTTTTTTGGGTGTGGCTGTTTTTCTAATTGATAATTTTAATTTTTATCTAGTTGAAGCCAAAAATCTTGATTTATCTTTGTATGAATGTAATTTTCTCTGAAATATACAAGATACTGAAACTAAAATTGCAAAGTTTCTTCTTTGAGTTACGGCAAGACCAAATATGGTCAGCAAATGTGAAAAAAATATTTGGTTCATGTTTTTCCACAATTAAAATGTCACTTTTTATTTTGGAGCCTTATATATTTCCTTAAAAACTTTGTAACTTCAAACTTTCAGCGGCAATAAAGAGCTAAAAAATGTTTTTAAATTTTCTCAAAAACTAGTTTTTCTGGTGTGGTTAACTTTTTAATTGATAATTTTTATTTTTGCTAGTTCCTTAGATTCATAGTTTTTTGTAAAATCTCAGCTTTTCAAAGTTAACCCTTCAGTTTCTGATTCTGTATTTGAAACCAAAAAACTTGATTCATCTTTGTATCAATGCAATTTTCTCTGAAGCTATGCAAGATACTAATACAAAAACTTCACATTTTTTTCTTAATGATACGGGAAGGTCAAATATTGTCAGCAATTGCAAAAAAATATTTTGTTTATAAAATATTTATAGAAATATTTGACATATTCATAAGTGAAATGTCAGTTCTCATTTTGCAGCTTAATATCTTTCCTTAAAAACTTTGTAAGTTCAAACTTTCAGGGTTATTAAGGAACTCAAAAGTGTTTTTAAATGTTCCAATAACTTGTATTTCTGAAGTAGTTGACTTTCTAATTGATATTTTTGATTTTTTTCTAGTTTCTTAGTTTCATAATTTTTTGTGAAATTTCAAACGTACGAAGTAAACCCTTCGATTACTGATTTTGTATTTGAATCCAAAATTATCTTGATTTATCTTTGTATGATTACAATTCTCTCTGGAACTATGCAAAATCTTGAAACAAAAATTGGAAAAATTATTCTTTAAGGTACGGCGAGTTTAAATATGGTCATCAATTGTAAAGAAAATATTTGGTTGATGTTTTATTTACAATTGAATTGTTAGTTTTCATTTAGCAGTTTCATATATTTCCTTACAAACTGAAAAAGCTCAAACTTCAGCGGCATTAAAGAACTCAAATGTGTGTATTAATATCCCAAAAACTTGTTTTTCTGGTGTGCTTGTTTTTATAATTGATAATTTTAATTTTTCCTAATTTCTTAGTTTCATAGTTTTTTTGTGAAATTTCAAACGTTCGAAGTAAACCCTTCGATTACTGACTCTGTATTTGAATCCAAACTTCTCTTGATTTATCTTTGTATGAATGCAATTTTCTCTGAAACAATGCAAAATATTGAAACTAAAATTGCACAGTTTATTCTTGAAGGAAGGTCAAAACCAAATATGGTCAGCAATTGTGAAAAAATTATTTGGTTCATGTTTTATTTACAATTTAAATGTTTGTTTCCATTTGGCAGCTTAATATATTACCCTAAAAACTTTCTAACTTCAAACTTTCACCGGCGTTAAAAACTCAAGATTGTTTTTAAATGTCCCAAAAATTTGTTTTTATGTGTGGTTGACTTTCTTATTGACAATTTTGATTTTTCCTAGTTCTTTAGTTTCATAGTTTTTTGTAAAATTTCAACCGTACAAAGTAAACCTTTTTATTTCTGATTTTGTATTTGAAACCAAAAATCTTGATTTATCTTTGTATCATTGCAATTTTCTCTGATTTTATGCAAGATACTAAACACTAAACTAAAATTGCACAATTTATTCTTTAAGGTACGGCAAGTTCAAATATGTTCATCAATTGTGAAAAAAATATTTGGTTCATGTCTTATTTTCAATTGAATTTTTAGTTTTCATTTAGCAGGTTAATATTATTCCTTAAAAACTTTAAAAGTTCAAACTTTCAGCGGCATTAAAGAACTAAAAAATGTTTTTAAATGTCCCCAAAACTTGTTTTTTTGGTGTGGTTGTTTTTCTAATTGATAATTTTGATTTTTTTCTAGTTTCTTAATTTCGTAGTTTTTTTGTGAAATGTTAACCGTACAAAGTAAACCCTGGGATTTCTGATTTTGTATTTGAAACCAAAAATCTTGATTTATCTTTGTATGAATGCAACTTTTTCTGAAACTATAAAAGGTACTGAAACTAAATTTGCACAGTTTATTCTTTAAGGTTCGGCAAATTCAAATCTGGTAAGCAAAAGTAAAAAAAAAATATTTGGTTGATGTTTTATTCACAATTGTAATGTTAGTTTCAATTTTGCAGGTTAATATATTTCCTTAAAAACTTTGTTAGTTCAAACTTTCAGCCGCATTAAAGAACTCAAAAGTGTTTTCAAATGTCCCAAAATTTTTATTTTGGTGAGGTTGACTTTCCAATTGATAATTTTGATTTTTCTTAGTTCCTTAGTTTCATAGTTTTTTGTAAAATTTCAACCGTACAAAGTAAACCCTTCAATTTCTGATTTTGTATTTGAAATATCCATACAAGATTTTTGAAAAATCGGAAAGAATCTCGAAAAATTCCAAAAATTCCAAAAAATCTCAAAAATCTTGAAAAGTCTCGAAAAATTTGAAAAAATCAAAAAGAATGCCAAAAAATCAGAGAAATTGGAAAAAATCCTGATAAATCCCTAAGAGCTGAAAAAATCTTGAAAAATCTCAAAAATCCATAAAATTTCCAAATAACTCAAAAAAATCTCAAAAATCCAAAAAATCCTTTAAAATCGGAAAAAATCAGAAAAAATCCCGAAAAATCCCGAAAAATCTTGAAAAAATTCAAAAATCCATAAAAATATCTTTAAAAACCGAAAAAATCCCACAAAATTCAAAAAATCCCAAAAATCCCTTAAAATTCAGAAAAATCGGAAAAAATTGGAAAAAATCCCCAAAAATCGAAAAAATTACAAAAAATTCCAAAAAATCCTAAAGAGCCGAAGAAATCTCAAAAATCCAGAACAATTTCTTGAAAATTCGAGATAGTCCCAAAAAATTTTAAAAAACCCTCAAAATTCCTAAAAAAATCTTACAAATCCCGAAAAATTGAAAAAAATTTGAAAAAAGTTCAAAAATTCAGGCAAAAAAAACCATTAAATTGGAAAAGAATCATAAAAAATTCAAAAAATAAAAAAATCAAAAGTATCAAAATGTTCAACCTAGGGCGAACCAAGATTAGTTTGTTTAGTGTAAACAGGGCTATAATCTGTATAGCTGTTCGCAAGAGATGTTCTTGTTTGACATGATAAAATAATTTTTTAAGTGGTTCACTCTGTCTGGACAACCATGATAGTAGCCCCTCCGGAAATTTACACTCGTGGTTGACAAGACGGATGTGAACAAAAATCGAACAAAAGATGAATGATGGGACCCAGGTTAGATTTTTATAGTGTAAACGCAAACTAACCCAGCTTCGCCTCAGGTTAGTCAACCCATCTTGAAAGGTGGGTTTGCCCTAGGTCGAACCTGGGTTAGTTTAGAAAAAAGTGTAGTGTAAACGCAAACCTGGGGCGAACCTGGGTTAGTTTCTTCAGGACGCATGCGTAGTGACAGAAATGTCGCCTAGTGCAAAACAAAGCGAAACGCGAATGCAATTTTTTCTCATTGTATGAAGCCCGCACTGAGGATAATTGTTTTTAAAGTCTAGTTAATGAATTCAGTAAAGTTCACAGACAATATACACGTTGACTGCCGCCATTTGTTCATCTTCACCTTCAATTCGTGTGTGTTACGAATGCGTTGATATCAATCTAACCCAGGTTCGCCCTTGATTACGTTCACACTAGAAAGTCTACAGTTTCCAGTGTAAATTCACCAGGGTTTGACCTGAGTTAGTTTTAACCTACGTCGATCCTAGGTTGGTTTGTGTACAAAAAACAGGGCTTATGCATCTGCTCTGACAAAGGGTGAAATGTGAGGGAGGGCCAAGAAAAAATTTAACACTCATAACAAAGATGTTGAAAAAACTTAAATGTATAGCAAAAAAGTTAGGGGCATGGCCCACCTATGAGGGTTTTGCCCCAGGGCCCACAGAACCTCTCGGCGGCCCTTATCATATCATAGTAGCATCATTGTCATGATGTCGCAATCCACAAGTAGAATGACGAAAATAACTTGCTTGAAAGTCTGGAATCTTGTACCCTTGTCTACAAAAAGCACGAGGGGACAGTACTCAGCATCTATTCGCACCCATTTTCTCAGCGTATCATACAACGCAGGGGCATATATTATCTTATCAAAAAGATCGCAATGATTCACCAAAAACCGAGATGGGGTTAAAAGCAAACTCTGGATATCCAATATTGGATAAAAGAACCCAAAGGTATATTATCGTTATTTAAGAAGCAAGATCAATATAGAAATGACAGAGCTTGAAGTATGGAATTAAAAAAGTTTTTTGATGGAGGCACGATGTTGAAATTCGAAATCTCCAACAGGCCTGCTTCCAGGACCGAGTTAAATATAAAAATTCACGAGACGATCTTGCCCTAAAAAATCTTGGAGATAATAAAAGTTTACTAAAAAAGAAAATTCGCTCTGCAAAAACGGCGTTTTATCGAACTGCACTGTCCCTAAAAAAACCCAAGGAATTATGGAAAATAATAAACTCGGTTCTCCACCCCCCAAGCAAGCAAATAATGCTAAATCCAAATGAATTGATAAATCATTTTTCATCAACAGCAGAGAGAATATTGAATAGGTCTGCAACTCCTGTTCAAGATATCTTTACATCTATATCTAATCTTCCCCTAGACAAAGAAAACTACTTTAGTCTCAGACCTGTATCACACCAAGAAGTCCAAAACGAACTTAAATCACTACGGAGAGATACATCAACAGGACCTGATAATATTTCGGCAAGCTATATCAAGTTGGCCGTGGATATCATATGCCCTCCTTTAACCCATATTATCAACTCGTTCATAAATGCAAGCTTATTCCCAACATTGAAATGCCCGAATTGTACCCACTGGCAAGATCGCCAGCCCTGTCAAAAAAGGTGACTTTTGTCCCATCTCTATTCTACCTGCACCGTCTAAAATCTTCAAAAGACAAGTTGCAAACCAATTAGTCAATTTTATTGAAGCTCCAAGGCTATTCAGTGACACGATAACAGGTTTTCGTGAAGGTCACAGTACTGGAAATGCACTTCTAAAGATAAAAGATGACATTAAAAAGGCAATGAAACATGGGGAAATGACACTACTTATATTTGTGAATTTCTCTAAAGCCTTTGATACGATTGTCCATGACACTCTTATCATGAAAATGCACAAACAAGGTTTTTCCAAAGATTACCTTTCATGGATAACAAGTTACCTTACATCCTGCAAACAGTTCGTCCAAATTGATGCAAGCTCATCAGAAAGTCTACCAACAACGTTCGGCGTGCCCCAAGGCTTTATACTAGGCCCAATGATATTCATCCTGTACATGAAAGACCTGTAAAGCCACTTTCAATCCAGCTCGGTACAGTACGCTGATGATACTACGATCTACGAAACCTACAAGCCTAAGGAAATACAGAAGGCACAAAATCGACTAAACGAATCTCTAGCGAAAATAACTGATTGGACTAATAACAATTCCCTGGCAGCCAACGCGGTCAAAACAAAATACATCTTATGCGCATCTAAACGGCAATATGACTTCCATCGACTAAAAGACCAGCAAATCGAAATTAACCTTAGGTTTGACGAAACTGAAGCTAGACAAGGAACCTCGTTATCTGGGAATGTACCTCTACCCACACTTGACCTGGGATAATCACTTCAAGCATGTCCTCTCCAGTTGTTATAACAAGCTATCTGTTCTACAGAAAATGAAGAATTTTACACCTTTCAAATCACGTAAATTATTAGCGGAATCATTGATTCTATCAAAAATCGATTCTAACGACTATGTTTATTCTCCTTTGAGCCAACAGCAGTTGAAAAAACTGCAGCAACTACAGAAGGCTGTGGCCAGCTTCGTACTTAAAAGTTATGCCCATAAAAAAGATATCTTGAAACTTGGTTGGCTACCAATTGCAGAAAGACGGGAATTCAACCTATTAAAACTGACTTTCAAGGCAATTCACAACACTAACTTGCCTACAATTAATAAACTCGAGCTGCAAACTTGTAACAGACTACTGCAAAGTAGTAACGAAACTCGTATAAGGCCATCACTAATAGCAGATAATTTTGAAGATGCCGCTGCAAAGTGCTTTGATGCCTTACCTGGATCAATAAAATCACAGTGTAGCTTTACGACATTCTGTTTTAACTTAAAGAAGCATTTATTTGAAAAAGCAAGCAACAAATTGGACTAAAAAACATTATTTCTTTTTTCATAAATATGTAACTGTTCTTAACTTTTAAACTTGTAATTTGACTTTGCTTTTAATTTTAGAGTTGAAGAGCTACACTTGTAGTGGATATGCTATTATTATTACATTATTATTATTATTATTTGTAAACTACTGCAATCACTGCCAGAAGTCTTCAAACACTAACGTCAGCTTTCGAAGGCAAATTCGGCCACCCCCTCTCCCCCTAAGAACAATGTTGATTTACTATAGCAAAAAGGGAAGGATTGTGATGTACGCTTTTTCGTGTGCCTTGTATGATATTTTTCTATACTTTAAACATTGTTTTAGGGGGAAAGGGGGACGGAATTAGCTGTATTCGGGAAAACAAATGAAAAATAGAAAAGCACAGCTCAAAGTGTTGGGTGTTTAAAGTAATTTTGGCAGTGATTGTAGGCGGCTGCCAAAAATCCAATTAAAACTGTAATCAATGCAATCAACTGGAAATTTCACCAGGGAGATTTTCAATGCTGTGATTAGACACGTTCGGGATATATTTTAAATCCACGGACAAAAATAATTCGTTTTCATGATTGGCAGAATAAATCGGAGTACTTTGTTGCACAGAATGAGGTGTACACTGCTTAAAGGGGAACTGAAGTGAAAAACGATTTTTTTACCACAGATAAAGGTTTCCGTGCTGATTCAAAAACCGTTTAAATTTTTTAAATACGTTATGTAGTTTTTAAGTTATTAAGTTTTTAAAGTCGAAATTTGCCCCCATCGATGGCGGAGCGAAAACGCGGTCAGACCACTGTGTCACGTGACCTTGTGACGTAAAGTGGTGGACACGAAGAGATGTTTTGATGAAATGTAGTAGTGAGTTTGATAAGGTTCATGACAGGTAACAATCGTGAAAATTGTGATAAAAGCATGAAACTTGGTGAAAATACAGAATTCGATATGCGTAACAAGATAGAATATAGACCCATTTTGGGAAAAAAACCCTTGTGCTATTTTTAGCCTGGGGTACTTGTCCCCAGCACTCAAAATACGTCAGTATGGTCAATCTGTTTCTGTGAACTATACAGCCATGAAACTTGGCAAACCGACACAATTTGACTTGCTGAAAATGATAAGAATGGTCCCCACCCTCAGAAATGCCCCTTGTGCTATTTTTAGCCTGGGGTACTTGTGCCCAGTACTCAAAATACCTCAGTATGGTCAATCTATTTCTGTGAACTATACAGCCATGAAATTTGGCAAACCGACACAATTTGGCTTGCTAAAAATGATAAGAATGGTCCCCACCCTCAGAAATACCCCTTGTGTTATTTTTAGACTGGGGTACTTGTGCCCAGTACTCAGAATACAATAGTATGGTAAATATATTTCTGTTAACTATACAGCCATGAAATTTGGGAAACCTACACAATTTGACTTGCTGAAAAAGATAAAAATGGTCCCCACCCTCAGAACTACCCCTTGTACTATTTTTATACTGGGTACTTGTGCCCAATACTCAGAATATGTTAGTATGTTAACTATACAGCCATGAAACTTGGCAAACCCACACAATTTACTTGCAGAAAATGATAAAAGTGGTCCCCCACTTCAGAAATACCCCTTTAAACATGATTTCTCATGCTTTGTCTCCAGAACATGATATCAAAGACTTTCTGATTTAACTCCAGGCATAAAAAACAATTCATACCAGGATGTACATAAAGGGGGAGGATTTAAAGCACAACCATTAAATGATGTATATGTTTCCAAGTTTATTAAAAGACCTTATCTTAACAAAAGATATGTCAGAGATTTAATCTCATAACTGTTCTCTATGAAAAATGTTGAGTTGAAGCAAATTTCAGAAAAATTTAACCATTGGGCACAAAAAAACTTCATTTTCAAAATTTAAAAACAGTGTATCTAAACAACAGGCAGTGACAGAATACATTAAAAGAGCATTATACCCTGAAGGTAAAACATTTTCCTCTGATTATTTATAAAAAATGTTACCAAGCAGGTGGTACAGGACCATTAATGTAAGAGAAAAACTTGATCAAATCCAAACTATTCTACACATTTTGATGTGAGTGAAATATCTTGAAAAGTACACCTTAGGAATCTTAAAAATATCAAGCCTTGCTCAATCCCCCCCCCCCCTTGATGTGACTAATCTAGTGATTTGGCCTAGGGCTGACAAGATTTGGCCATTGTCCCACTAGTTTCAACAAATTTCTCTTCTTGCTATTATGAACTAAAAGTCTGGTCCTTTTGAATAACCCCGTGTATATAATCCTGTTCTCCACTGTATATGTAGTAGGTAGCCGATTTTTGCATTTTCATTGGCTCTCTGCAGAAATTTGAAACCCTTGTCATCTTTGACTAAAGTTCTTTTCTTTACATTTGTGATAAATGCATACTTAAAGTTGTCCAGTTAATCCAGCACAAGTACCAAAAAACCAGCAAACCATCCATTGATCGGCCACTGTTCGTAGATACCTAGCAAAGTGGATATAATTCTAGGTATTATTCTATTTTAGGCATATTTATGCAATTCTATTAAATATTTGACATTTTCGAATTATCAGTCCAAAAATCTGAATTGCAGTAAGATTTAATAATACTTGTCAATGTACACGAAACAAACCAGTTTTAAACCAAAAGTGGATTAGGTCGACCTGTTCCGTGCTACACATCAAACTATGTATAAACGTTTTTATATCAAAGCAAATATCTATTAAATTGTAACATGTAATAATCCTTATTATTTCAGATTTTAGAAATGGAAAGATTATAATAGTAAGCCTACTCATTCTCTGTTGTATCTTACTTTTTATAAGGAAATAAGGAAATTGAGTTTGAGTATTTCTTGCCTTCATTGCAAGAAAAGAAACAAGGATCGACGTACCATTTATTTGCTTCCTCGTTTCTACCAACAAAACGAGCACGTCGCGGGAGATAATTCATCCTCATCCTCTGGGATCTCATCGGGCCTAGGCTAATCTTCATCGCCACTTTCGCAGTTCCCGTTCGCCCTTGGTAGGGCAAGTACTTCACCGCCACATGCTCCAAACACTTCATCGTCGCTCGATCTTAAGTCTGTTGTTATTCCTGAAGAGCTGTCGTGAAAATTGCGATCTGAAATTTCAACTACTAACCGAATTCCCTCCCTCCGATTCACTCTACTACACTGTTGTTTTCGTTAGGTTCGGGGCACGTGTCCACGACTTTACCTCAGCGCCTGAAACTTGTCTCCAGACCTCTCAGCCATGGAAATGGAGAAATTTCACACTTTGCGCGTTAAATGCAGGAAAACGAAAAGAAAAACACTAATTTCGTGTCGATATTCGAAATCAGCACGATGAAAATTACTAATTAAATGATTCTCATTTTTCACTTCAGTTCCCCTTTAAATAAACGATTCTGGTAACAAAAAGAAAAACAGCATCAGCCTATACGACAAATTTCATTTAAAAGCAAGTAATTTCTTTTCTGAATCAAAATCGGATACCATTATCCTGATAGGATAGATAATACATCAAGGAAACGCTGAGTAGTTGCATCTAAGGGGAATAGATTTTCGATGGTCCGTAATTCTATAGAACAACAGTTTCCCTGGATGAATAAATTGTTATCACTGCTTGATTTACAACCAAGTTTCATATGAAACCAAACTTGTTGAACACAGAAGATGAAGAAAAATTTGAAAAAACTAAAACTCTTGCCATCTGCCCAGTATAGTATCTTTAATTGCATCAACATATTGCGCTGGTACCCAGTAAATCCAGTACCTTGAAGCATCCGTAGGACCCAACTGCAAACCCTAAATTTCAAAGACATGCCCTTGTTAACTGCACGTAAATGATGTATCAATTGAAATTGAAAATGGAGATTAAAACAAAACACCGAAAGCATACTGAAAGATCACAGCAACAGTATCCTCGAAGGAGAATGAGTGACAGTCTTGCAATTTTAGGAATCAAAGATCAGTGCCCTCTTAACGGACTGTGCTGGACGAGCACATAATAAACAAGGCAGAGGTAGACAATCTAGGATGTAATTAATACAAATTTCAAATAGGTTTTAACTGTAAACATATTTAAACAGTGTTTTCCTAACCATAACATTCACACTGCCTGATCAAACGAAAAGGATTATTTACAAAATTGCAGTCAGTAGAAAATGTCTTTAACGCAAAAGATTTTATCGCAAAATCATTAGACTCGGGGGATCAAACTGATGCCAATATTACACAGAAAAATTTCAGCCGGTGAAGCGATTACAGCAGGGCTTGAGCGTCGGTATATTTTCACAAAAGCTTGTTCTCTTAACACTGAACCTTTTTGCTAGACTTTCAAAAATCATTTGGCAAAGGTTTTTGAGTATCTTATGTCCTGTAGTGCCCTCTAACTTTGACCTTTTGTTTTTTGTTGGGGGTTATCTTGTATAAGCAATAGATAGACAAGCAGATTGTGAGTAATGAACACAAATAATATGCTGCTCTGCTGCAATAAAGTTGTAAAACCTGCAAGCATGCCAAGAAAAATGTTTATTAACAATTGGATGTCAGCCATGTTTATGCTGGGTATTTTCTTCTTCAAAAAGCGTGCACATTTGCACAGTCAGCCTCAAAGTGAGACAGCATGAGCTGGAATGGGGTTTCGGAGTGAAAATCACTTCGGATTCTGTGATTAAACGAGAAGGAATGTGAAGCAAAGTACTTCAGATTGATCTTCACTTCACCTATAGAGCTGAGTGACTTTCACTTCGGTTATGCCCACCGAAGAATTTCGGATTGGCTAAGCGTCGTGTAACTGAAACCCCTATCCGAAGTGAATAGCAATCTGAAGTGAACCCAATCCGAAGTTGCGTAACTCGGGCCTCAGATTGTATTGTACCGGCAATTTGATACTTTTTTATACAATTTGCCTCAATTTTCTTTCCAGTCTGTATTACAACGGTTTATGATTTCATATTAATGATTTCAAAATTTTCAATGAATGTAAACATTTTCAAATATCATTTATTTTAGAAAGAATTTTGTGATGTAGTTTTGACTTCTTCAATGTAAGGCAGTAGGGACTTGATAGGATCCGAACCCTGATCCCCCTTTTTTCCAAGATGTGGCAGTGAAAAATGTTTCCCTGCAATCTTGATTTCACCATATCCAGAAGGGCGTTTCCCCCTTTCCCGAGGGCTTGACTTCAATTGATTTTCTTGGGGGCTAGACCCCCTCTGGGCAGGACCACCTTTTTTGGTCAGCTTTGCCAATGGGGCCCGGCTGAGTTGTCATTTCCTTACCGCTCAAACTCTCTGCTATCACAGATGCGCGGAAATGATACTATGCACGCACAGTTTATTTTTGGGAAATTATTTCACTTGGTCCCTTTTCTGTCAGTTTTTTGCCTGAAATGTTCTCCCGTCTGGCCTTCCTTTGTAAATTTCATCTAGTAATCCTGGTTACAATAAGCTTGGTGCGAACTACAATTCCAGACAAAAATAGTTGAGACTTTTCAAGGAAAGTTGATATTTTATCTTTCAGTACTGCTGTAGGTTACAAGAAAATGCTGAAGCTTTTCAGTCACGCTTTTGTTCAGAAAACCAAATCTTGGATACACATAGCAACGCGCTATTTATACCAAACGGATTTTGCAACAGACAGTTATCTATGCCAATTTCGAAACATTGTATATCTAGAATTTTTTGCATATGTATCTAGCGAACTTGTTTGCTGAGCTTTGTTATCTTGGAAAGAGGTTTTTTAAAAAAAATTATGCATAACACCTTCTAACTACATGCATACAGTTGCGAACTATGTTTAGGCCACAGTGAAATCGCAAGCTTGAAAGATTTTTGACTCTCCTGAAACCTCAGGAGAAAAACACATAAATGGAGAAAAATCTTTATTTGATGGTATAGACCCATACGCAATGCCATAGAAGAGTACTATCCTTTAGTGACATACATTGATATTGTCAACTACCTATTTTTTATAAAAACGCCTATATTTTCTTTATCAAAAGTGCAGGTTTGCAAGACTTCAGACGACTTGAAGAACTGCAAACGTTTGTCTGCTTCTCCACACTTAGATCGGTTCTACTGATTTACGTAAGCCATACGTTTCTTCCATTTGTCGGAGCTGTAGGAACCAAAATACTGGTGAATCTCTCAAATTGGGATAGAAGTATGAAACTTGGTAGAGATGCAAAGATTGACAAGCTAAAAAAGACAGGATACAGAACCTATAGAAAATTTCCCTTCATGCTATTTTTAGGCTTGAGTAAAAGATCCAAATCCTCTAAAATGGCTATTACAACAACGGTACTGTTAAATGTGTGTCATTCTGTACACTAAAGACAAGCAAGCTTTGTCAAAAAGGCATCAGTCTCACGCCGTATATGATCTTTGATAAGCATATATACACATATGTATAAAGAAGAATTTTTTATACATTGAATATATAAATTCTAAATATAAAATGTTTTTGATGTGTTCATATGTGTATATGCACATCAAAGTGAGTGTGTCAGTGTATCTTAGCGTTATGTATAGAGCCATTGAATATCCATGTGCATGTGTATACATTTTTATCAATATGGTATAGATATGCAGTTGTAAATAATTCTTTTGATGAAAATGATATACCTTGTGGTTATATCACGCATGGAAAACAGAAAATCTGAGTTTGATACAATATGCTATGTGCAGTGGAGAGGCCTAGTCTTCATCACAAGAGGCCGAGTCCACTTGGAATTTAGAGCGAGCTAACTAATCTCCATATTATTATGCTGTAGTGATAATATTACACCGCATTACATATTACACCGATATTATTACATATTTTGTTGAATCAGCAAGATTTATTAGAAGAAGAGTAGAAACAGCATCTGTTGGCACATTTAGTTATTGCACACAACTTAACCGTTGTGATTGATCTAATTGTAGCCTAGCCATTCCTCCTAGACATCAACTCCGCCCGAACTGAAAGGCTGTTAGAAGACGGTACTTAAAAAAAGATTTTAAAATCTGTTCCCAATATAAGAAGGCACAGCAAACAAGTTAGCTAGGTAAATATAATGTTTCGAAATCGGCGAAGATAACTGTCCGTTTCAAAATCTGCATGGTATAAATAACGCATTGCTATGTGTAGCCAAGCCTACGTTGTGATCTATCATGGCAGCAATAAGTTGGCCACGTGACAGGTGGGAATAATCTATAAAAGTATCTGTCCAGTTACGATTACTTCTTAGCAAAAACACACATCAAGCATATTCAAATAGTTTGGATTTTGAATGTCTGAAGGGAATTTTCGATTTATCATAAGATAACCTTTGGATTAACACTGGTGATGAAAATTTCTCACCATTTTGAACCATAATTGCGTCTTTTTTACCTATTTCGGCTGATCTGGCCCGGCCCAGATAGAACGAATACTTTTAAATTGTTTGTTTTTAATATCTAAGTTGGTTTGTGTTTGTAGCTTGCCTCTCATGTTAATGCAAGTAAGAGTAAACTGATTTCGAGATTGTTTCTGACCACCAGAAATGAAGAAACACATTTTTAGACCGATACAGACCAAGAATGATTTTTTTCTAAAAAAAATGTAAATGTCTACATACATCAAATAGATTAGATTAAAACTGGTGAAATTTTTTTCAAAGATACAATCCAAACTACTGCTGCTCCCTATTTTGAATGGAACACAGTGCCCCTGTGTCTTTTTTCACTATAGAGAGGGCATCTTCAAGTAAGAATCTGATTTTTGAAAATTGTAGAGCAATACGTTTTCAATCAAAAAGGACCAAACACTGAATAGGTGACGATTGTGAAAGAAATATTTTCACATACCAAGATATGGTAGTCTTCATTGCCAGCTACTGGTTCAGAAATAACGGTTTTAATCGATGACATGGGAATTTTTTCTGTCCTTTCTACAAAAAAATTGTAAAGTAAGTAAACACTGGGCCTCTCCAAATACCTTTCGTTTGAGAGCTGCCGATGATGTTATAACAATGCAGATGTTAAAGATCAGTAGACTTCTAAAATTTATTCATATGTGAATTCAAATTTGGAAGGTTTGCTAAAATTTTAAAAAACAGCAATTCCCAAAACATGTAACTGGGGGAAAAAACGACAACGTCACCTTGAAAGTTAACAATATGAACAAATGTACCCTATGATCAAGCTTTATCAAGCGACTTTTAATTTGGATATCTGCTTATAAGCCAATGGAAATTTTTGGTGCCATGTGTCATGTAGTTGAGACGTCTGGTAGTATGTTGTATTCATGTTTATAAGAACCAAAGTAATATAAACCGCAAAAATTCATTTGAAGGCCCTAGGCATTTATTTGAAAAAACCGATTTTACCATTATTTTACCAATCGAAAGTGGCGTTTATACTGGAGGAGCATGCATACATTATTCAAGTCCTGTTTTAATTTTTTGATATGGTGTGTATTATTTGGAGCTACAAGAAACCGAACAAATGCAAATCTATAAATTTTAATTATCAACTACATTGATATATTGAGACGTTAACATTTACTTAACTTTTTTTAATTTCGTACAAGACTATGCAGAGGAGCTGATGTTGATGCTGATGAAGTTACAATCTCGTATTTCTAGATAGATTTCTACGTCATATGTTGTCTTGTGTTCGGTTGTAAGTTGTTGAAAATTAGTTGCATCAATTTATCGTTTCTTTGGAGATCCCAAAATTACATGCCCATAACCGTGGCGATGAACATTACAACAAACATATCAAGTATTGCTGTGAACACAAAATCGGTTCCCGAGTTTTATAAAGATGCAAATATCGAAGTCAGTCTTTCAAAAATATGGGGGCTTTGGTTGCAGGAACTCCATACGAATTATAACTTCGTTTGCAACAAAGACACGACCAACATCGTGTATTTTTTATTTGAAGTAGAAATTAATACGGAATTAAAATTATAATTTAACATGACTTTGAATTTATTGAGGCTGCAAATTCAAGCATTTTTATCTGTGAGAGGGTCATAGAGTTTCTTGAACGATGACGTCAGAAACATCTACTATAAGAATTTTTTTAATTTGATCCCATAGTCTGAAAGAACATTATTAATGAGCTCTAAATGTGCAAAATCAATTAAATGTGTATTTCATGGAGATCTTTTTGGTTGTGTTGTTTTGTCTTATGGTTATGTCAAAAAGTCTAAAACTATGTTTTTATGATGTCACATTTAAAAAACTCTTTTCAACGGTTGCCAATAATGAAGAAATCCCTGTGAACCCTGTTCATTAAGGTAATGGGTAACATGCTGCCATCTAGGAAACACAAAGGTTATTTGAAGCTCGCGAAAGCTAAAAGCACAAAATAATATGGCACCAGATATAATGGCAAAGTCAAAAATAACATATGAAAAATTTGGAAAACCTTTGATAAACAATTAAAGCAGACCATTACAAATACTTTTGGGCTAAAGTATTCAGTGAGCTTGTTTATTATAATCGAAAATTACACTAATTTCATTCTTTCAATGACAGTGAAGTTGACTTACCTTTGGTCCCAAGCCAAAGTTGATCTAACTCGTGTTTAAATGTCAACCTCACTTTTCCACCATGTTTATTGCACATACCGTATAATGGCTGAATAGGTAATTTTTCCTAAAAAAGAAAAAATTCAAAATCGCAAATTGTCCACTTTTCAAAAATATGAGAAAAGATAACCAAAAGAAAACGTTTAAAACCTTCCTTACATGCAAGAAAAAGGTGCTTCTAATGATAAACTTAACAGAAACAGAGGCGAACAAGGTTCTTATGAATTACTGATTGGATCTTTAAAACTTAAAGCACGCAAGATTACACACTTATAGCACGCAACTTAAAGCACACTTAAAGCACGCAACTTTGAAACACCTGCATAGAGGGATTAAGAAAAGGTCGAGCATAAATAAGTTTTCAAATGAGAATTTTGCATATTTTAGACGCATGAATAAAACATTAGAGCGAAAGTAGATAGGAAACCTTGAGTTACCCTTAGGAAAGCCAAGCAACAGCACTCATCTGTTAGAAATGCTACTGAAATATGTGACATACTACTTTTTGCATTTGAATCCCCTTTACCTTAAAGCAATTTACAAACCTGCTAACGTGTCAAATAGTTTTCGAAACGTGTCAAAGGTGCTAAAATTTCATAAACATATAGAATTGTGCAGACCTTGGAACCAATAATTCCTGGCATGACATCATCTGGTTTCCCTTTGTCTAGGACTTTTCTATGCTCCTGTAGAAAAATCATCTCAACTGCAAAGCAGATATTGGGAACTAGTGAACTAAAGGGCCTGAAATGTTACAAACATCTTCAGTTTAAATATTGGCTTTGGAAAGTTAAGTTTCTTGATATAATTGCAACCTTTATCAACAGACAACAGAATATTCCTGGGCAGCTAAAAATTTTGATAAACTTAATAATCAAGATAAAGACAACAAAAATGTAGTTCCGTTTTATAAAATGGTAGAGAGAAACGATATCGCTTTACAAAAATGGGTCAAATAAACAAATATGAGTTACGTTCAGTGAAAAAATGCAATATAATGATAATTGCAGCTTTAAAAGGTCAAGCATTTTCGAGCATTATTTGGTTTCTCTTTACAATGATTAGAGGGCGTTTGTAAAGATTATTCTGTTCTTCTTACGACAATGAGAATGCATTTTTAAAGATTATCCTGTTCTTCTTACCACGATGATAAAGCATTTTCAAAGGTTATTTAGATCCTCTTACGAAGATGAGACGGCATTTATAGAGGTTCTTTTGCTCTTTTTACGACAAAGAGAAGGCAATTGTAAGGATCATTTGGTTCTTTTACCGAGGATGAGATGGCATTTGAAATACATAATTTGGTTCTTCTTACGACAATGAGAAGCCATTTGTAAAGGTTATTTTGTTCTTTTACCGAGGATTAGATGGCATTTGAAATATATAATTTGGTTCTTCTTACGAGAATGAGAAGCCATTTGTAAAGATCATTTGGTTCTTTTATCGAGGATGAGTTGGCATTTGAAATATATAATTTGGTTCTTCTTACGACAACGAGAAGCCATTTGTAAAAGTTATTTTGTTCTTTTTATGACGAAGAGAAGGCATTTGTAAAGATTATTTGGTTCTCTTTACGATGATGAGAAAGCATTAGTAAAGATTGTTTGATTCTTTTTATGACGAAGAGAAGGCATTTGTAAAGATTATTTGGTTCTTCTTACGATGATGAGAAAGCATTTGTATAGATTATTTGGTTCTTTTTACTATGATTAGAAGGCATTTGTAAAGATTGTTTTGTTCTTCTTTACAACGATTAGAAGGCATTTGTAAAGATTATTTCGTTCTTCTTTACAACGATTAGAAGGCATTAGTAAAGATTGTTTTGTTCTTCTTCACGACGATTAGAAGGCATTTGTAAAGATTATATTGTTCTTTTTACGATAATGAGGAGGCATTTGTAACGATTATGTATTTGTAAGCAGACTACTGGGCAAAACCAATTGGCACACGTGCTTCGAAAGGACAAGAATAGAAAGACAGTCCTCGATAAACGTTAAACGATAAACAAAGCCAAACATCACTGAACTGATAAACCGTTACAAACTGAGGACACAGCGGAAACGTCACTGAACTGATAAACCGTTACAAAATGAAGACGAAGCCGAAACATCACTGAACTGATAAACCATTACAAACTGAGGACACAGCGGAAATGTCACTGAACTGATAAACCGTTACAAAATGGAGACAAAGCCGAAGCATCACTGAACTGATAAACCATTACAAAATGAAGACGAAGCCGAAAACATCACTGAACTGATAAACCGTTACAAACTGAGGACGAAGCCGAAACATCACTGAACTGATAAACCATCACAAAATGAGGACGAAGCCGAAACATCACTCAACTGATAAACCGTTACAAAATGAAGACGAAGCCGAAACATCACTGAACTGATAAACCGTTACAAACTGAGGACGAAGCTGAAACATCACTGAACTGATAAACCTTTACAAACTGAGGACGAAGCCGAAACATCACTGAACTGATAAACCGTTATAAACTGAGGACGAAGCGAAACATCACTGAACTGATAAACCTTTACAAACTGAGGACGAAGCCGAAACATCACTGAACTGATAAACCGTTACAAACTGAGGACGAAGCCGAAACATCACTGAACTGATAAATCGTTACAAACTGAGGACGAAGCCGAAACATCACTGAACTGATAAACCATTACAAAATGAGGGCGAAGCCGAAACATCACTGAACTGATAAACCGTTACAAATTAAGGACACAGCGAAACGTCACTGAGCCGTTAAACGAAGCCGTCACTGAACTGATAAACCGTTACAAACTGAGGACGAAGCCGAAACATCACTGAACTGATAAACCGTTACAAAATGAGGACGAAGCCGAAACATCACTGAACTGATAAACCGTTACAAACTGAGGACGAAGCCGAAACATCACTGAACTGATAAACCGTTTCAAAATGAAGACGAAGCCGAAACATCACTGAACTGATAAACCTTTACAAACTGAGGACGAAGCCGAAACATCACTGAACTGATAAACCATACAAACTGAGGACGAAGCAAAACGAAACATCACGAAGCCGAAACATCACTGAACTGATAAACCGTTACAAACTGAGGACGAAGAACTGAAACATCACGAAGCCGAAACATCACTGAACTGATAAACCTTTACAAACTGAGGAGGAACCGAAACATCACTGAACTGATAAACCGTTATAAACTGAGGACGAAGCCGAAACATCACTGAACTGATAAACCTTTACAAACTGAGGACGAAGCCGAAACATCACTGAACTGATAAACCGTTATAAACTGAGGACGAAGCCGAAACATCACTGAACTGATAAACCGTTACAAACTGAGGACGAAGCTGAAACATCACTGAACTGATAAACCATTACAAAATGAGGACGAAGCCGAAACATCACTGAACTGATAAACCTTTACAAACTGAGGACGAAGCCGAAACAGCACTGAACTGATAAACCATTACAAAATGAGGACGAAGCCGAAACATCACTAAACTGATAAACCGTTACAAACTGAGGACACAGCGGAAACGTCACTGAACTGATAAACCCAGTCCTTTTTGTTTAGTGCGTGTGATCGCACCCGCACACGCCTGCACACTCACAAGTTAAATTGCGCATGCTTTTGACCACACGCGCAAACAGGTGTTTTTGCAGTTTTCTGTTAAAGGGCCTCTCCAGCCAAATTTGTAGTTGCATTTTATTGGCTATTCTTATAATGAAGTTGAGCCTGCTGATCACGAATTCATTATTTGTTTTTCGATATCTTTTACAGTTTGTGAGATATAAGCTCTTGCATTTCGATATTTGAATTGAATTAACCAACAACAATTTTTCGGTTTGGTGACACTATGACGCAATTTTGACGTCACAGTGTATTTCGTTAGTCTTGCCTCAAACCGAATTGAACGACGGCGATTCGCAACTAAAGTGATGGTACTCTCAGTTCTGTTCCACCAGCTTTTAGTTTGAGAATTTCAGACACCAATTCTGAAGCCTTTAGTTGTTCATCGTTTCTGGAGAACAACGGAAGTGTCAATTTCGATTAATTATAAGCGAAGGAAGAGCTGGAACAGGAAGCCATAGCTTTATGGGCCTACACAGGTGATCAAAACAAAGTTGTGACACAGCATCAACACATTCCGACATGCAGACTTAGAATGATTGTAAACATTTAATATTTTTCGATCCTAAAAAGCTCCTGCTGTAGATTTGGATGCAGTTATCAACGCTTGACCATGAGTCCTTCACGCTTCGGTGGAGGATATACGAAATTCATGGCGAACGAGAGCCGCACATTGTGACGTCAGAATGTCACCAAACTGATTCGGCTTTTGTCGTTTTTTTTTCGTAAAGGTGCAACTTTAAAGCCTTATAACTCCTAAACTAATTGGAATTTTGCAAAAACAATGACTTTGTCATAATACACGCACCAGATGCTAACTTTTAGTAAATAAAAAAAAAATTTTTTTTTGCTGGAGAGGCCCTTTAACATCAATTTCCCATGGTCTCATGATTGTTTTTCATTTCCCTTGTTACTTGATTCGCACTTTTGACCACAATATGATTTTTCCAATTTTCGGAAGTGATGTTTGGCTTTTCACTGAATGCTCCTTTCAACTTAGCGTCTGGTCTTTCAGCTAAGTCGCCATTAGCATGTTAAGTGCGATAACTGATTTCCTGTCAAAACGTAATTAGGCTCTGAAAGCAAGTAGCTGTTGGAAACAATTTTTCCTTGCTCTTGTAACTTTGGAGAGTGTCGACGACTTTTGAAAGATGGCTGCTAAGGGCAAGAAAATCTGTTATGTATTGATTTAATTGAGTTTTGCTCTTGCACGTATTCGAGTGGCTTCTCCCTTCTTGCTCCTTTTACCAATTTTACCTTTTACAAACTGAGGACGAAGCCGAAACATCACTGAACTGATAAACCTTTACAAACTGAGGACGAAGCCGAAACATCACTGAACTGATAAACCATTACAAAATGAGGACGAAGCCGAAACATCACTGAACTGATAAACCGTTACAAACTGAGGACACAGCTGAAACATCACTGAACTGATAAACCTTTACAAACTGAGGACGAAGCCGAAACATCACTGAACTGATAAACCGTTACAAACTGAGGACACAACGGAAACGTCACTGAACTGATAAACCGTTACAAAATGAAGACGAAGCCGAAACATCATTGAACTGATAAACGGTTACAAACTGAGGATGCAGCCGAAGCAATAAACCCTTATAAAGTATTGGCTATGAGCTATATTTCTACTGGCCTACAGCTGAGCCCTAATACCATACGCTAAATTTAATAAAGACCACCAGCTCATTTCTTTTGCTTGATTCAATCTCATTTTGATAAACCATATGATAAATTTTTAGAAAATCTTTCTACTACATTAAATTAATAACGAAAAAATGTAACCCACCTTTTTATTTGAAAAACTTTCATTTCCTTGCGAAGCTGGAAAAATCGAAAAGCAATGTCATCAGAACAAGAATAACCAACGATTAAAAATGAATCGACTTATATCCAAAAAGCTCTGGCAATGTAGCAACTGGCATACATACCGCTTTGGGTAACTTCTGTTTGTTTTGGAGTTTCTTTCGATGGAAGATTGACATTCAGAACGTCTTTAAGAGTTGAGCCCACAAGCATAAGCTTTGCTCCACTGCATATGTTTAATTCTTTGAGAGTCAAGTGTTCGTTCTTTATCAACCCTAGCATTGTATGATGCAATAAATAAAATAACAATGAAGAAACAAAGTACATAATTAGAAGGAAAAAATCAATGAATGAAATAGACCTTCACCCAACTGTTTTTTGAAGCTACAGCGTCTTGAGCGATTTCCATGTGAATAACATTTGTCAATGTATTCATTCATAATAATAGACAGAGAATTCGGGCTCTGAGCTTCTGAAACCATAAAATCATTCCCCACATTTTAAAACCTGGAAACCACAAATATCTCTAAATGAAAGCTAATTCGAATCGAAAACTCAATCAAACACAAGTACTTAGTATTTCCTTGGTAGATCAAATTAAGCATTAAAAGAAAATGTTAAAATGAGCACTCAAAAATTTTGGTATGATTTCTTGCCTAAACAAATACGGCATGCTTGAAGTTTTGGTAACTCATCAACTCTTGCTTTTTACAGCAGCCACGAGGTGATTTAGACCCCGTTTACACTGTGTCAGATAAAATTTATCCGCATAAAACTTGTTTGAATTGATCTGCGTTTACACTGTGCCGCACAAATTTTGTCCACTTTGCCCTCCCGTTTACACTGTGCGGGATAACTGCAGTCACATGACCTAAATTATGCACAGAACGCCAAAAATAAAGTCTTCTCTTGGCAACAAAATAATAACAAAATTCCCGCCAACGTAATACTAACACTTCATACTCTCTTCAGAATCATCTGCTTCTCTTTTAGACCAAATCCAAAGATATTGTCAATACAAATAAGGACTAATTTGTTTCAATAGTTTGTTCTTGAAACAAAATGACACTGAACTAGCAACGAAAGTAGGGAAAGCTGACAAGGTTGCCAATTTTACGTGGACTGGCAAGATCCTGCACTTTTAACACGAGTATTTATCGACAACAAGGCCGCGAAGATGGCGAAAGGTCTTGATTGGGAGACAGTGAAAACTAAATTGGATGAAATAGCCAATCGCTTTCGAGCAAGATACGATGTGACTAAAATTTATCCAGATAAAAGCGTTTACACTTTACCACATAGATAACCCAACTAATTTAATCCACTTTCCTAGGTGAACTAGTTTTGTTCGGATAGCCACTCGCAAATTCGTGCGGGTAGCGTCAGTCTAATGTAAACGCGACGCCTATCTGAACTAATTTTGATGCGGATAAAATTTATCCGGCACAGTGTAATAAGAGTCATAAAAGATTAAACGTGTAAGGCGTTTTCTCGCATTGGCTATGTCATCATCTGTTGTGTAGCAAAGTTCTCTTGCGTAGAGGATTTCTTTTGTTGCGTAAGCTGTCCCCACTCCCCAGTTCGGTGCGCTCGTCTCATTTTATTTGGCTTTGTTGTTTCCTTGATTTCCTTTGTCGAGCTATATATTTTGTTCCATGGTATGTAGGGTACTTCTGTTGACATTACCTTTTTACTGAACCTGATGCAAATGTAATCTAAAAATAAATCGATTTTCTGTAGACATAATTTTGCAAAAACAGATCAGAAATATTGTCAACATACCTTTATACATAAGTTTCTGCATGCTTGTTGGGATACCTGTTAAAGTAACAGTGAAACATGAAGAGAGTAAAAGAAACAAAAATGAAGAAAACTTACAGAGAATACTTAACAAGATTTGGCTACGGTTTTAAAACAAAATGTTGTTGTTGCTTTGTGTTTTTCCTATAAACTAAACTAATCATGTGAGGTCCATGCATTTGAAAGAAAATAGTTTAATTGCATTAGGAGTCTTTTTATCGGTAGTTTGCCTATATTTCTATTTGTTAAATTGTAGAAAATTTTCTGAATAACTCAGTCAAATGTTTGTTCATTCGCTTGCCTGCATGCCTGCTCATCCCGATATTCACTCGATCACTCATCAAGATGTCCGATCATTCACTCGCCTCGCCTTCACACTAATACCCGTCCAGCAGTGACGTAGCGTGACTTTCTCAACTGGCTATTCTCTTTTACGAAAGTGTGGGGCTAGGTGGGGGCTAGGTTAAACTAGGCTGAATAGATAGATTCAAGAGTTGTGTGGTGTCAATACAGGGGCTCGGTCTACTCCTTTTGACGGCACTCCTTCTTTCAACAAATGATAAAGTTGAAAATGGGTTTTGAAGCAAAATCTAATACGACATCATTCATCGCAGATTAAGGCAGGGTCACAATTCGGATCACGGAAAAAACGATCAGTTCCGAGGTTATTGAAAAATTGACTCAATCATGATATCCTTTCAATGGATATAAATGATAAACAAAGTATCCAAGTAATGTCGCAATAGTTGTTGTTCAATTCCTGACGTCAAGAGGAAGTAACTGGAAATAACTACACACGACAGCTTCATGCAGAGTGCAGACAGAGAATGTCGAAATTATTCGCAAAAAGCATTACATACAGCTATGAATTCTGGGATGAATTGTAGATCTTTTCCCAAGGGCAGAATCGAAAGGATAGAAGATAATCGGCACATAATTGCACATAATCATAATGGCGCTTGTGTAATGCACACAAATAGGCCAATATACTTGAATACACTAGGAAACTAGAAAGGGAAATCCTCAAGCCTATCTAAATTTACTATATTAAAAGTTTTTAATAGCAAACCTCTTTAGGGCTTTCTTACCAACAAACGATTCGAAAATTGGTTGGCCTAGGAAGGAACATGACACAGCTTAACCTATATGCAGCCTACCTTTGCTATTGGTATATTTGTGGTCAAATGAGAGGATTGTTATAAAACAGTGACACAAGCATGCAATCCTTTGCAATTATTCTTGAAGATACAGTCTTCTTTGTTGTTTTGATGAAATTCGAAACACCCTAACCCCTTCAACCTCCATTAGTTGTTCATATTGACCTCAAAACGAGACTATTTTGAACCAAATATGAGGCTGGACGCTGCATATTTCTGTGGGTACCTGGCCATTGTTCTCGCCGATTAACGGGCAAATTTATTCATGAAAAGGAGCATTTTGATCGGTGAAAGTACCGTCTAGGGTATTCTCTGTCTATTCGTGACTGATCTCCATTCAACATGAAGTAGATTGATCTTCGGTACTACCTTCTCAAAATTCCAGGTTCCCTACGCTCCGCAACATTTACCATATCTTATATTTCCGTGAACTTCGTGATATTTTGAATTTGTACCATATATAACATATCGAAAGGCATCAACATTAGTCATAAACAATTATCACTAGAGCATTTTTAAGACACTAAAATTTCACTTAATTTTGATATATTTTCCTAAAAAATCTCAGGGTATTCACAGAATACCTTGAATACCCGGACGCTACGCCAGTGCCGTCCAAATGCTCGCTAATTTACTCGTTCAAAACTTCACTAGTTCTCTCGCCAAAATGTTCACTCCAATGTCCAAAATGTCCATATGTTCATTTGTCTACATGTTCAATCGTCTAAGTGTTCACTTGTCCACATGTTCAGCAGTCCCCGTGCTCAATTATTCACTCTTCAAGTCAGTGGCAGATTCAGATCGGGTTTCAGGGGTTCTGGAACTCTGTCAAGACACATAACACTATTTTTCTCTTTACCTTCGAATAAAATGCATAGAGTCATAACGGCAAATCGCCTCGTGTACCACAACCTTTGCCACTCGCTAAATATGGTATTATGAAATAAAGAAACCCTGTCGTGGCCATGGCAATCTTTTGTAGCATATAATATTCCTCTAAGAAAGGAACCCTGTCGTAGCCAAGGCAACCCCTTGTACCATATTGTATTATTGAAGAAAGGAATCCTGTCGTATCAATGGATATCGATTGGCTTCGATTGTCTTCGCCACAAACAAAAGAACGCTCTTCGAACACATCTCACGAATTCATTTGAACTTATTTAAACCGCTGACCATGCATGCGTCCTGTTTTCATAACGGCGACGCGAAGCTGCAAGTGAAGGCTTTGACTGCACGATGACGAGAGCTTGTTATAAGCCCTCAAACAGGAAGAGACCAGCACCTGAAGATCAATGAAATTTAAGGATAGTTTAAAAAAGTGCTATGAATTTTCAAACAAACTTTTCCAACACGCCTCGCCAACTGTTTGTTCATTTTTCTTGACTGACCTAGCTAACCTGACAGATCACTGCTTTTTTACATGGATCAAGTGAAAAGTTCAGTCCAGATAGTTGTAAAGTGACGTTCACGAGAATTTGCAATAAGCAGGAGAGAATCTTGGTAGGAAGCTCAGGAATGTCAAGACATTTCTCTTTGACGTGCAAGGTTTATAAAACTCTTGAAGCCCTATACATAATATATTTATCAATAGAATGAAAACTTTATCAAGATAAAATGAAAGACTTTAGAGAATGGGATAAGATGATTTCATATGTCATTATTTGCACTTTTTGATAATTGGGCTTGCTTGCTATATATGATGAGAGGCTTCGTCTAACGTTATCCATTTTCGACAATCTTGGTGAACATTTGAGGGTCCAGAAAAGTTTTCAAACTTCTTCCGACCAAGAAAATCTTACAATTGAACCTGCCTCATTTTTTATAGGTCTATATGGGTCTATAATAGGCGTGGACAAGAAATTCAGGTAATCAGCCAGCTTTGATCCCAATTTTCTTACACTTCTTTTTCCAAAATAAATTAAAAAAATTGTAGCTTTTTACAATTATGGATTATTTTTGCAACAGCTGTAAAGTTACATGCTTATATCAATTAATAGCAAAAGCGTGTCATAATTCAAATATATAAGTTGTATAAAGTTAATGCCTAAAGTTCTCCTACCACATTCATATAAGTAGGAGGTTTATCTCAAAATTATTATTTGACTTGTTTTATTTTTTCTTTGACTTTATTTTTAAAACCAAAAACCAAGCGATTTCTTCAACTTCCTAAATTGTCCAATTTTTTTTGTCACCTCCCTCAAATTCTTTTTGTTACTACAACCTTCCCCTGGCCAGTGGCCGTCGGGCCGTGGTGTCTGCTATTTGGTAATATTTATAGCATGAATTTCACGTTTATCTTGCAACACTTGGTAAGCTTATGTCCTGCTGTTACCAACTAAAGGAATTCATTAAGGTCCTCTGATTGGGAAGAAATTGAAACAATTCTTTTAGAATTCATATTGACAATTCCTGGTTTGGTTTACAGATTCATTTTTCGTCCTTGCCATGGAATCAAGATGAGATAAAATATCTTGTTAAAATTAAATCTTGCAATTGTGAATCTTACCAAAAAGCGAAAATGGGCGTCGCCAGAAAAATAAGGGACCACCCCCATATTGGGACCCGCTCAAATTTTTGTCTAGATCCACCACTGCTCAAAGTTGTTCACTCGCTCATGCATCTAATTGTCCACTCTTTTACACATCTAGATATTCACTCCTTCGCTTGTCCAGATGGCTTGTTAACGGAACAAGCTGTCCATTCATCTAATTTACATTTCCAGATGATGACTTT